TGCAAATTATTCAAACCCTATACTTAGTTGATAAATGTGCAAAAAAAGAAAAAGATTAAATGTTGAGTTATTATTTTTTCACTGTTTTCTAAAGATAGCATGCTCAGTTTTAATTTGGTGCCAGCAACATGTTTCAAAACAGTTGGGACAAGAAAACTGTCTCCCAGCTACTTACATTAATTCCATACATGTTTGTTACATGAGAGGGAATGGAAAGGGATATTTTAGAAAGGCGGTGTAGGATACGGTTCAGTGGAAAACTGTCCTGTGGTTTGACAAATCAAAATTTAACATTCTTTCTAGAATCCATGGACATTGCACCACCCAGCCCACTCAATCAGCCCAGTTGAACAAGCCAGCATCTCTGATGGTATAGGGTTAGCATATAGATCAGTGAAGGCATCATCAGTGCTGAATAATATAAACATGTTATGAAGTAAAATACACTCCTTTGCATGAAGATGCTAAACGAAGTGTCAAGCATCACAACAGCATGGCTCTGTAGAAGACTCTTTAACTGGCCTGCATGCAGTTCTGACTGGAACATTTGGTGCAAGAGACAGAAAATAGGACCCTGATCTGTTGAACAGCTTAAGTCCCATGTCAGGTAAAAATGAGTCAATATTTCATTTTCAAAAACTGGTCTCCTGTCATGACTGTTTTGAAAATATGTTGCTGATAACAATTTAGCATTCCATTAAAGTCTTTGCATATTTTTTCAATTAAAGAATAGGAATGATATGTAAACAATTTAGTTTTGATTTTATCAACCTTTTACAGTGTCCCAACTACTCATGGAGTTGTGTTTTTATTATTTGGATTGCAAGTTGCAATCCGTCTTATCTCAGAAATGTCCCACAGTATATCATCTTTGGCAAGTATAATTCATAAATCTTCATATATGTTTATTTTGAGATATTTCTCTTCAGAGTGGGATTATATTCATACCAATGACTGAAAAATGACATCTTTGACAAATTGTTAGATCCATTTCCCAAGATTTTCTTCCAGAACAAAAAGTCACCCTATAAAGGTCAGTGTGTTATTGACATTTGTCCTTATCAACATGGCAGTAACTCGTCATTTTGGAAAACCAAACATGCAGCCTTACCTGGCCTCTCCAGTGCCTGCAATTATACAAATAAAGGTCATTTCTGGGATGCATTTGGCATTTTACACATTCCTCATTGGGTTCCATCTTTGCACAAGATGAGCAAGTAAAGCTGCCAGACATCTTGAGCTACGTTGGCCTCCTGGTTCATGCTGTATCTCTGCACTGCACCGCGTCTGTCCTTTGAGCACGTGAGGCAGATGCCGAGCTTGCTCCAAGAGGCCACGGTGCTGTCAGCTCTGATCCATCTTCGTTTAGGAGGCTGCTTGTTCATTAAGCCCGACATGGCTCAACAGGAGGCAGGCATGCACCAACATGCTCACATTTGGTGTCATAAATCCATATTAGGAGAAGCGGAGGCATCTCATGTGGAGGGAGGTTACAGAGGTGATGGTTGGGAGGGCTTGTGACAAGTAGTCCATGTCTTTCAGCAGATCCATGTTGTTCTACAGATTAGGAGCAATGAGGGTGTATCAGGGACACTGACTGAATATCTGTTACTAAATTTAAAAAAATCTTTATTTTAATTTAAGTTTATAAAGCATGCACTGTGCGACTGCCATTTACATGTCTGGATTTTTTCTAAGAGAAAGGTCAGTAGTCGAGGCAACGTGCCAGGTGTTGTGGACCAGCAGGCCTGTGCGGTGCACTGAATGTAATTACGGCACTCTGGCGATCTGATAACCTGCCAGTCTGTCTCTCCACACTGGGAAAGTGCACTGGCATATTAAAGGGGGGCTCAACAAACATGGTTAAAAGGACAGAACAGTGAGAGTGTGTGCAGTTTTAATGGGATTGAGGCCAGGATTCATCTAATAGCTTTTGCTTTGAGGAACATTTGTTTTCACATTATAAGGGGAGATTTTGTGCAAAAGTTTTAAAATTTTAGTCCAAATTGCTCTGATCAGTGATTTTGGTCACACTGGCTTATTATGGTACAATCTCTTAGGCCTATAAAACTGCCTCAAAGTTCAGCTGCTTCAAACAGTGCCTTATGGCTGGTCTTCTACATCAGACCTGGCTGAGATGCCTCTTTATCTTGTCTGTGACTGTTATCTGTTGTTTGCCAAGTGAAATAAAATGCTCTATGTATGCAGTTTTGCCTCGGCTTTAAAAATACTTATCTTTTCAAATCCGTCTGTAAGGCTTTGGCATTATAGAAAGGCAGCGAGAAGTGAAAGCTTTGTTCTCATTTTGACAACAGCACTTCTCCTCCAGGCCTCATACACCCATTGTCTGAAAACTAAAGACAGGGTAACAAAAGTCTCCCATGTGCAGCTAAAAGCTACAGATTACATGAGAGATTGTGGTATAATTGGCTGCAGTCGTGCTCTGCTGGATGGACAGTGATTAAAATCAAACCCTGCATAAAAGGAGGTTCCCGAATTGTGAGTTACCGGATTCAAGCAAGGATTTCCCAGAGTTACAGAGCCTTTTTTGTTGTTGTTGTGTATATCCACCAGCAGATTACTTTCATGCTTGATTGCAGGGGGAAGGACAAACACAAGGACAACATTTTATTTTCTACGATACCCACCTGATTTTCCTCGTACTGTGGACTGGTGAAGCTTCTTATTGGCTACGCCTGAAAATTTGGAGTGAGCAAAGACTGAGGATTTTGTTCCCTTACCTCTGACATTGGAGTCACACACAAGAGGAAAAAAGGTAGCTGTGAAAACAATATTTCTGTCTGTATCACATAAAAGTCAGGCCTTAGTAGATAGTCCTGCTCCTGCCTGGAAACAAGCTCTAGGCGATAGCTCTGGAAGACAGCTCAGAGTCCAGGGAGCAGCCAGAGCCCTGCTGCTGCCTCTCTGGTTCGCAGTGACACCATAAGTCAATGGCCGGCTATTTAGACATCGAGGCTGTTTGGAGACTCGTGTTAACAAGCACAAAGGGGCCACTGAGCCAGCCAGAGAAGGTGTCGGTGCGCTAATAGCACAGAGAGCACGCTCTCCACTCATCTGTTTTCTTCCTCTTCCCTTTCAACCAATCACTCCCCCGCTCTCTCTCGCTCTTTCTTTGTTTCGTCGCTGTAATTACACCTGCTCCGCCAAGCGTAGCTCGAGGCGTGGCTGGGCAAAATCACTCATTAATATGAATCTGCCGTGTGCGAGGAAGAGGAGGATACTCACAGGTAGTCTCGGTGGAAACATTAGGTAGTGAGCAGCCTGCACCTGTGTGGCCCTCCTGGGATAGAGAGGTAAAGGAGCCTAACTTTGGGGAATTGTGGGTGTGAAGTGAGACCATCCATTTTCAAAATGAACCTGCAACAATTACAGAGCCAAAGTGAAGGAGCAAGCTTGGATAACTTACAGCCAACGGGCTTGTGACTATTTAACCAGCTGAAACCTACCGATGAAACCACATTCAGGGGGATGTCAGGGAGCCAACAATGAAGGCTAGAAACCTGAGAAACACTTTGGAACCATAAACACTGTAACATTCAGATCGCAGACAGCTAAACACTCCCCTTTATCTCAAAGATTACAATCCTGATATTCAATAACTGTGTCCAAAACAAAGAGATTTCCAGGCTGGAAAGTGTGAAATCAAAGGTGTGACGACACGTCTCCATTCCCCAGAGACAGAAAAGCGGCTGCTGCGTTTGTTAAGGGACAAACAGATTAACACCAGACAGAGCACCAGACCAGACAGATAGTGTTACATAGCGCTTCCCTTCCAAATGAGTGTAATCAGACACATCCAGAGATCAGAATTACAGCAGCAGCTGATGGCAAAAATGAGCTTTTTCATAATGAAATCCATAAATACCCAATGACAACACATTGCTGTTGCTACAGCGAGGGGGATCTGTGCACGAGCCATGCTGCTCTACTACAAATGACGTGCAGCTGCAGGCTACGTAGGGCTAGTTGTTAGAGATGCTGCATGTGTGTGTGTCTATGTGTATGTGTATGTGTTTGGAGACACAGAGTGCTGAAGGAAGAGGGGGGATTATCCCTCTAAGCACTCTTCAGCAGGCCAAGGAAGTTCACAGTTGTTCCTGTGTGCAGACATAAGAAAAACATCCTCATTAATATAGACTGCTAGACAGCAACATGCATAGTATGCTCTTCAAAGGAATACTACACATTAATTATTCACTTATAATATACTGGACAGCATGAAAAGTCCAAACTGGGAAGAAAACACTAATGAAACCAACAAACAAAAAAAAGCCTGTCTAGGTTTGTCACTTTCCCCTAAACAGGGAGACACACACACACACACACACACACACACACACACACACACACACACACACACACACACACACACACACACACACACACAGCAAAGCTGCATGAGCTCATTTCCATAATACCTCTGTGTGCTCATGTGAATAACAGGGTTCAGGCTCCCTTATTAGCATGTGCCAGGGTTCACTTTTTTGGGCCTTTTGCAGCTGGAATACTTTGAAAGGCTTTTAGTGCTTTCTGGAAATGATTGGATGTGCGACTTGCCTGCTGGCTGGAGCTCACAGACGTTATTTCGGGGAATTCACTGCAAAGCCAAGAACAACTTTTTTTTTTTTTTTTTATCAGGTTCACAGCAGGAAGCAAATTGGACAGGAGATAACTGTTGGCTACTCTCATCACCTACACACCCCCAGATGAAGGCTCATTTAAATCCCGGCAACCTATCTCCCCTATTCTACTTCTCACTTTGACTTTGACTTGTGCTGCAGAAACTTACTTGTTAACCTCAACAGAAGAGATATTATAGGTGCAGAGGTTTCAAGTTCAGTTAGATTTAATGTTTGTCACATAGCTCCTGCTAGCCGTGGTGCTGCCTCAGGAATGAGTGTCTCTCTCCCATCAAAGCTTGTGGATCACATTCCCCGCTCAAAAGATTAAAGGTCCTCAGTCGAGACAAGATACCAGCAATCCAGGCTTTTATTTAGCTGAATATCTTTACAGAAAAAGAGCAATAACATCCATCTAAATCCAAAAACTATGCAATGTGCACTTTAATCATTCAAAAAAGAGCAGACTTTATATCACAAATTCACATATTAAAAAGAACGAACTCATAATCAAGCAGAATAGCATTTCTCTGCTGCAGAGGCATAATGACAAGGATGCAATGACCAGCTGTGTGTGGTTTTGACAGGTATTCTTTCACAGTCATTGTACTCAGAGCGTTTATCCTTTAGGAAAAGTGAAAATAGAACAATTACCCTTTACCTGAAAACCTTGCACCAGGATTCATTGTCCATGCAACGCAACAAGGAAGACACGCAGTTGACACACAGCTGCCAGGTACTTTCATAAGACATGCGGCAGTGGTTGGATGGAGGTTGTGAGAGGGGATAATAAGGAGCCATGACAGATGTCAAATCTGTATAGCATCAAAGGGGAAAAGGGGGAAGGGAAGGAAGACTTTCATGCAAATCTTAACAGTAAAAGTCATTTAACATCTCACTGTGAGTGTCCTGCCCTCACTCACACGTCTGAATTAATGCTGAGGTTGGCCAAACGTGGGTCAGAGTTGATCTCGTACCTGTAATGATACCCCTCCATGTGGTCCCTACAAGCATCCCTGATGTTGTATATCCACCGCTTAATGCCTTTTCTGTTCAGGTAGAGCACCAGCAGGAAAATGACACCAATCAGGGCCAGAACCAGACCCAGGAAAACATACGAAGTCTCCAGCACACCCTCCATGTCGCCCGGACATTTCAGCTGTGACTGCTCCAGATGCAGGAGGGGCCGCTGCCTCAGAGCCTCGGGGACTGCACAGGTCAGGTCCTGCCTGTCGATGATCTGTGTGGTGTTTTTCAGCCAGAGCAGCATGTCCTCTATGAAGCAGTCGCACCGCCAGGGGTTCCCTGCCAGCCGCATGTGGAGTCCAGGCTTCAGGTTGATCTGTTCCAGGATGGTGGTTGGCAGGTTCCTGAAGCTGTTGTCTCTCAGGTCAAGGTCATGCAGCATCGGCACCTTGAAGGTCCCATTTGGAATGGAGATGATGGAGCTGTTCTGCAGGCTGAGGTTGACCAGGTGAGGAAGGTTTGAGAAGATGTCATCTGGAAGGATCACTAGGTCATTGTTGGACAGGTCCAGAACTGTCAGCTGGTGGAGGTTTTCACTCTGCAGGAAGCCCAGTACTACATCCATGAAGGTATGATTGTGGAAAGAATTGCTTAAGTTAAAGACCTGTAGTTTGCTGTCATGTGGAAAAGCTCCTTCACTGAAATTCAGGATTTTGTTGTCACTCAGATCTAGCCGCACAAGGTTTGGCAGATTCTCAAATGTCTTTGCATCCACAGACTCTATCTCATTCCCACTGAGATAGAGATCTGTTAACAGTTCCAGGCGGGTAGGGAAAGAGTCCATACCAAGACCGGAAATATAGTTTCCTGTCACGAAAAGGACTTCGGTGTTGTTTGGTAAAGATTGCGGAATGGCGTTTAAGTTGATGTTTTGGCATTTCACAGTTTGTGAGACGCACCTACACTTCTCTGGACAGCCGTGACAGAACATCACGAAAGACAGAAGAAACAGCAAATACATCATTCCCGATCTCAGTTTGCTCCCACTGATTTCTCCGCGGTTACCTCCGCCCGGCGTGCTCAACAGGCGCATCTTGGATTTTTCCAAATCTGTCTGTGCGTAAAGATTGTCCTACAACTACACAACCTAGTCACCGCCCTCTTCTTCTGCCACGAGGAACGAGGAAAGTTTTTTTCAACTATATCTACCACTTAAATCCTTTCGAAACGGGTCCAAGTTCCTCTTTAGACTCCACATTTCACCTCCAAACCATCTTGGTTTAGGAGGAGTCTACATTTCCTTGACGGTAAAGGAGGCACCTTAACTTCTGAAGGGAATCCTTTTCTCTTCGTCAGAACCTGTGCTAATACTTACAGGGCGAACGGCGTTAGAGTTCCCGAGGAAGAAGTCTGATGTTGGACATAACGACACAAAAATCTTCGGATTGATGGCAGAAAATGCTCCGTGTGTCCTTATACTGCCATGTACCTACGTACTTCCAGCTCGTGTCTCTGGCACACGGCGGTGGGATCGAAGGAGAGACTAAACAGAGCAGCGCTGTGCAAATCATTGGAAGGGGGGGAGCATACCATTTTTCAGCTAAAGGGGGGTGAGCAGACCACTCATACAGGTTTTCCAAGACTTTAAACAAAAAACTCCAGTCATGATACCCCCTCTCTGCTTTTATTACACTTTACAACTTTGTTTTCTTACGTCGTAGGTGAAAGTGGCACCTTTAATTCATGAAATTACAGGAAACGACCCGGTGAGTTGGAGTCCAGGGAACAGTAAGGGTCCTCCCGAAGTGACGTCCGTTCACCGTTGCGTTGTATGTCACTCTCTAAAGAGCCAGCAATCCATCCCGATGAGTGTTCCCACCAAATCCTCTGATCATCTGTTTACAATATTATGTCACGCATCCTTGAAAAATCACGACGAATCACGTGCAATTCGTGTATGAATAAATAATTTGAGGTAAAAAAGACTTTTATTGGAGGGAAAATGATTCACGATGAATCGTTAGAATCGATAATGGCATCAATTAGGCAGTCAAATTCAGCCCAGAACAAACCCAACTGATTATTAGGGTCCAAGTAAAATATAGTGCTCAGATTCTGGATACCAAAAGAAAACCAATGAAAGAAACTTATACATTATTTTCTTCTATAATCTCATATCACTTGACCTATCATTTTCTGCCATTTATTCATCAAAGTCGTGGTCATTTTTAAAGACCTTGATATCAATAAGGCTTTCACTGCCCACAGATGTCAAGATTTATCAGATACAACTTTTTTTGTTGTTAAAAATACAAGGGCAAAGGAAAGATGATACATTCATAACTCATTACTTTTGAAAGATCTTTTTTGTCATTAAGTATTGAAATAACAGAAACTTTAAAAACCCCACAAAAGCTCCCACTGTCAATGAAATAGACTAGATTTAAAATTGATTCCATTTCATGCAATCCAAAAACAAACAGGACAATATTTTAGATAGATAGATAGATTGATAGATAGATAGATAGATAGATAGATAGATAGATAGATAGATAGATAGATAGATAGATAGATAGATAGATAGATAGATAGATAGATAGATTACTTAAGACACTATATGAGCATATAGAGGTGGTTGGCAGAGTTTGGTTTTGGAAAAATGAGAACATTTCAGTGTGTGTCATGTTAGTGATCAAAGAGTTACAAAATAGCTCTGCTATTTATGGCTTGCCCAAGTGTAACTCCCATTTTCTCATGAATGTCATCCTATTTTCTGTGAACAGTTCGATATAACATTCACTTCAATATTTACTCTGAAAAAATATGTAAAACCAGGATATTTCTTTCCACTGGTTTAAATTGCTTCATCTGACACCTAACCCCCTTGCAGCAGTAACAGGCTATGAAAATATCCATCTAGAAATCTTGTTGCAAATGATCCAGTTTGTTTTTATGGGTAATAAAGATGTATCACTGTGAACTTTATTCTGTTCAATAACCTCCAAAAAAAAAAAAAACCTTTTCACTGGAGCTTCAACTTGCGTAAACACAAATGCAAAAATAGTGCTAAAATAAATGTCTAGAACACAAGATTGTTCCTAAACTATTACCTCCTGCATCAGTATTATCCAACAAGGGTTTAGGATAGAATAAGGAATATAGGTGATCTAGACGTAATTTTCCCAAATTTTAATTTTAATAAAACCAAAAACTGAGTAACATGAACTTTTCTGTGGTTCTATAACACAACATTATTGGCTTAAAATAAGGGCAGTGTGGGATCTCTTTTATCTCTTTACATTGTTTGTATTTCCAAATCCCTTTCAAGAAATGGTTTGACCTTGTTGTGGATGAATTGTCTGCTGGATTATGCACGGATTACACTGCTGTGAAGCTAAACTTTGGATGTGTTCATGCATGAATGCTGAGGCAGGGCACGCTCATCAATATGTCATATTTGGAAACCCCTGTGAAGATCTCTGTGTAACCCTAGCTTTACCCTCCTTTGACCCCTCCTATTCTTAGCCAGGGTCATTGTGACCACCATTTCATGAAACCTGCATCGTGGCTGAAAGTGATACTCCACCGAAAGCCAGGTATAAAACTTTTGGGGGTGGGGGCATTTTTTGAAACACCTGTGAGGAAACCTTTTGGGGTGTGGGACAGTCAAATTTTTTAGCAGTTTCAGTTTGTTTATATATTGCATTAATCAAGGAATTTTTGTGAGATGATTTTTGCCTCATAGAGACTGACACTAATTTATTTTGTTGAATTTCTTGCTGAGCAATTGTGTAAGGTAACAAAGTAGATTTGGCCTGTTTGAGTGATGTATTTTGATTATCTGCACAATTTGATGTTATATTAAGGAGAGAAGACATGGTAATGTTATATTTTTAAATTACATATTAATTTGTTGTTATCATAATTTTATGAATGATTACTTCTTGGGGACGCAAAAGGCACCGATTTCATGGAATGACCCATATACAGTCTATGAGTAGGTCTCATAGTAAGTGATGCATTTGGAAGGTGCCAAAACATCTTTATTACCATTATTTGGTTAAAAATCAATCAAACAAATGAAGGAACAAGCAGACGAGTTAAGTTTATCGCAAAAGCTTGAAGACACTGTAACAGGTTTTATATGATTTGTTAATGGCTTGTTTCCTTTTTTTAAACAAATTAAAATGTAATACAGCTCTATATCCATATGACATCACACATTAGCAGCCCTTTCACTGAGCCACAAAAAAAGAACCAATCAGCGACAGAGATGTACACGCTCAAACCAATCAGAAGTCCCAACACTACAGAGCGTGTTACCTAAATTGTAGGGTCCCGGGCTTCCAGTCCTGTCAAAATTATCCCCAAAGGAAAGAGCTCTGATAATAATGAAACAGTGGATGTGCGTCGTTGATGCTACTTCCTTCATGTCATCTTTTTCCTTTCACTAACGGAAGGTAAGAAGCAACAGCGTCAGCTATCGATGATGTGTCATTTATGCTAATGCTAAGCTAGCTGTCAAGATACACTCTCTCTATACGAGATTTAAGCTTCAAACAATTTTCTCCCTGTGCTTATGGAGCGGGTTTACTACCCTTGGACCTAACTTTGCTTTGAAATATGATGGCATTAAATAATCTCGATCATGGTGTAAGGTTACACTGCATATGAGCTAACAGTTAGCAAGGTGAAGTAGCCGTCGGTTCCTGCACAGTTCGTCAAATTGTGGAGTGTAGTTAGAGTCATAACTGAAATGATGATAAAGAAGTGGTTTGTCAGAATATCCAAGTCCTCAAACGCAGAATCTCAGTAAGAGTTAACGGGGCTTTAGCCAAACAGAAAACTAAGAAGCTAATGTTGTCTGCTAATTAGCCTGTTACATAATCCTGCTATTTAAGCAACATTATGAGATTCCCATATTAAGACAGAGCTCTTTCTTCACATCACCCATGCAAGCTTCATCTGAAGTTAAAAATGCATTGGTCAGTGCAGGGTTATTCAATAGATTTGATGCATAGGTGTTAGATTGGGCTGACCTCTGCTCCTGCAGTCTGTCTGGAGGCCAAACTTGCTCCGACCTTTTGCACTTTCAGTTTTGGATTTCATCTTACTACTGCAGTATCTCGAACCCCCAGCTTTACATACCAACACAGTCTGAGTCATGCAATTGCAGAAGAGCGCTAACTTTCAGTGTGATCTTTCTCTCTCTTTTTAGGTGCACCCTACAATTATGGAGTTTTGAAAAGGAGCGTGGGAATTTTGGGGGGAAAGGGGGCCTTTCCCCTCAAGTTTGATGGTTGGACTACTGGGTGAGAAGGTCAGAGGATTGGTGGAAATTTTTTGCCTTTTGTAAACTATAAGAGTATATAGAGAGAAAGAAATATATTTTTGCAAAAAACAAAAACTAATATGTAAAGATTTTTATGAAATGCACAAAGATTTTTGTATTTATTGAAGTTATGATGCCATTGTATGCTAGAAGCACCTTAGTTGGTGTTCAACTCTTGGTTGAGATGGTGGACTGAAACGAGTCTCAAAAAGGCTCTGGGGTTGCTAGGGTGCAGTGGAACCTCAACACAAGCACAATTCTAGCACTCCAAACCATCTCTCCCTTTTGTTGACCTAATTTTTTTCTTTTTGGAGAGCAGCTCTGTTACAAGAGATAGTTTTATTAACAGTGTTTTCTGTTTGCCATTGCACACTGTGGTGTTGTTAAGTTCGTTTGTGGTTGTGGGTGGTGGGCTGTCACAAGGACCTCTTAATATAATAAGGAAGAAGGCTCACTGTGAAGACTCGGTGGAGGTCAGGATGAGTCTGGCACCACTGGACTGTACCCCGAGATGCCGCTCACAGAAGCATGCAGATGAAGTTGTCGCAGCACTAACGAGTGGCTCTGAGGGGCAGCTTCGGGTGTTCTTGACTTCGTACTGCCACAATGCAGCCACCCTTAGGGATAACTTCGGCCGCACTGCGCTGCACCTCGCAGCCTCACTGGGAAAGAAGGCCCTTTTGGAGTGGCTGCTTGAGAGTAAGAATGCTGACCTAATGGTGAAGGATAAGGAATCTAGCTGGACTGCTCTGCACCGCAGTGCTTTCTATGGACAGATCCACTGTCTCATATCCCTGGTCAAGGTAGGTGTTGAACTGAGATCTCCTGGAAATTAGCGTATCACAATTACGGATGTTTCCATTTATGTATTCATTTACTGATAATTCTGGACACGTAACATGCATTGGTATGGATTAATAACGGTCATTTCTCTCTCTTCTATTATCTTGATTATATTTGACACCAGTGTTTCTTTCTGTTTCGTTTTCTGTCAGCATGGTGGACTCCTCTCCACCCAGGACAAGGAGGGTCTCTCTGCCATGGACCTTACAATGAAAGACAGACCATCACATGTTGTCTTCAAACACTCTGGTAAGAAAGTTGATCAAGTCTCAGCATAAACAGATGTGAAAAAACTCCTTTTCATGGTTCATGTCATTTTTTTTTCTTTCTGAATCTGTATGACACTAACTGTTGGCTCTGCAACTCTGTTTATTTTTCAGCCAAGGGGCAGCGTGACTCATTCAGTTTAACAAAGCATTTCACACTTGTACATGTCAGGGATTTGATGACCCCTGTGGTATATGATTAGTCTTTGAGCTGTTGTGACATGTCCTTTTTTTATTACAAGAAGTTTTATGGGGGCAGCAGTACCCTAAGTCAACGTGCAGGATATATTTCTAACTTCAAACTTATCCACCCTATTTAAGATTGTGCTTCAACGCCTTTTTTGTGCAGTCCTTTTTATATTGCCCCTTAATGCCTGTTCAGTATTATGCAAAGTACCTTGAATTGCTTTGTTGTAGGTACATTTTATTCAAATGACCTGCCTCCTCTCTTTTATAGTGGTTCAGACCAGTAGTTAAAATAAGCTGTGGGTGAAAGCTGTGTTGTAGCCGTCCTTTTAATTGTGTTTTCCTCCTCATTACAGACCCAACAGAAGTATACACATGGGGAAACAACACTAATTTCAGTCTGGGTCATGGTAATCAGGAGAGCCGACATCACCCTGAGCTTGTGGATGTGTTTGCCAGGACTGGGGTTTACATCAAGCAGGTATGCTAACAACAGTGTGTTGTTGTCCCTTCTCTCCAGGGCTCAGGAAAGTGCTTTCCTAAGTAATGGAGCTTCCATCTCAGAAACCACAACTCAAATGTTTCATTCAAACCTGTAATGACCTGCAGCACAACTTTTTGTAATTTGTGTAGCGTTTAAACAGAGCCAAAATTTTGTTATCCGTAAAAAGCACACAACTTTGGTAAACAAGCAAAACATTTGCTCTCCAGAGTCCTGTGTTATGCAACTTTTTCTCATGTGGCTATATTAGCATTCATATAAAGAAAAGAAAATTTGCTTAAGTATAAATAAAAACAGTACCTAGCATAAGTCAGTACATGCTCTATTATAAGGAATGTATTACTCAATATGTAGATGAGCAAAAGTACAATTTCAGAAGTTTTGGCAAAGCTGAGTTTAACATAACATGTTATTTACCATAAGATAAAAATAAAGGTGATTAGTAACTAAAATGTAGCTTTGCTCCCAGAACTTTGATTGGGGTGTACTCGTTTTGGCATCCTGGTTTTAAATTGAAAAAATACTTTTTTCTACGCAACTTACAAAAAAGTCTTGTTTGCAATCCCCCTACCCTTGGGGGAGTATTTTGTTGTATAGTCAGGCATAGAAATTGTTGATTTTGAAAGGAAACTAAAGGTTTTCTGACAGCTCTGAAGGGTTGAATTTTATGTCACAACAGAACAACACAACATGAGCCAATTTTGATGAATTCAAACTTTAATTTCGCTCAATGAATTGGCAATTGTGTAGCCACAGTACACTGTACAAAGACTGTGTTTTTGTCTGACTTCATGGAGAAAGAAATATTTGGAGAATAAAAATAGACCCGGTCAGGTGGTGTTTAAGCCAGTCATATAGGGGACAAAGTGGGTATCAGATTTGTCTTCACTTGTGTGATATCACTTGTGAACTTTGTGGAGTCAGTGTGTGTGCACCTTTGAACTATATAGCCATACTGTGCCAGCCTGGCTTCTATGTCATGCATGTGTCATGTGAGTGCTCTTAGCATGATTAACATAGCTCTTGGCTGCGGTGCACATACCCCCAGCGGTGTGAGGAGTACACACCAGATGCTATTTGTAGTTGATTAAGTAATCCAGAACGACAGTGTTAGTTATGCTGACTCTGTAATCTTTTCAGACCTGGCTAGTGAAAGCAGTTAGCATGCTTGTGAAAGGAATATAGTTTGGGCTCTGTCTCACAACATTGCTGGTGTTTACAGAAGAAGCCCTCTGTTTGAGGTGTGTTTTTCTGCCCTGCAGAACCTGTCATGCAGAGTAATTTCATAAAGCCTGTTGGGGGACAGATGGATCTGATTTCATGACCACACAATGACCCAGTGGCACCATGTATAGTCTTTGTCCTCCTTGCCCAATCCAGCAGGTGCCAGAGGTTAAATATTAATTCCACAATGACATGTTTTTAATTAAATGAACCAGACTGGTGTGTGTGCGTGTGTGTGGATGTTCCCATCAATGTGATACTTTGGGAAACATCCCTGAGCTCTATTGAAAGCTTGAGGGGGAGCGATGTATTAGTAATGATGTTTGCTTTTCCACTTGTGCCTTGGCCTTTATTGGTATAGTGTTTTACTATCACTACAAGAGGGCTTGGCTAAGAGACATGGAAAGAGATGCATCACAGCCTCTGCTATCAGGTCCAAATTATAATCACAAAAGCCTTAATCTGCACTAACTTCAGACTCCTATGGGTCATATAGTATAATATGATAAATGCAAGGGGCAGTAACCAAATCACATTTATGTTTAATTAAATTTCTCTCCCCTGCAGGTGGTCCTGTGTAAGTTTCACTCAGTGTTCCTGTCACAGAAAGGTCAGGTCTTCACCTGCGGGCATGGGCAAGGAGGACGCCTTGGCCATGGAGATGAACAGACTTATCTGGTGAGACTTAAAGAGGATTATTTTGGTGTAGCATGATGTGCCACATTTGTTTTGAAGCAGTACAAATGAGTCCACATGTTGCAGGGAAATTTAACATGCATCGTAAAAAAATGTGTAATGACTTGAAGAGTTGGCTTTTAAATGTCAGTGAATCAATATCTGCCAGCTCTGGTAAAGATTGAGATTGTTTTCTAAGCAAAGCTGGGGGGACACAGTTGAGAGTGATTTTTTTTTTTAGTTTCCATTTCGAAATGTGAGAAGTTTTAGACCCTTGGGATGACTTTCTTCAGGTTCAGCATCTACATGTAGAATAGAAGAGAATAAAACTTTCTTGAAATTCATATTGTCACAGCAGCAACAGATTAGACAGGAAACACAAGAGGTATCATCAAAATAAAAAGCTATGACAACAAATGAATAGTTGACATGAAATAAGATAAAAAACCTAAAAGTTTAAGTGCTCCACCTTGCTAGGACCTGTGTGCGTCTGTGTGTGCGCTACATCTCAATTCAGGCCTGTTAAACAATCTGATGGCTGTGTGTAACTATTTAAGTGTCACAATAGTAGCTAACCATCGTAATTGTAATAAAGAGGTTTATCTATGTATTTATTCATTTGTTTGTTTGTCGTCTTGTTTGCTTAATTGTTTATTTGATAGGGACAAGTGCATGAAACATTGCTGTATGAAGTATACAAAGCAGATGCCATACATACAAGTTTCTTGTAACTCATGAAACTCATGCCTAATTTGCAACCCTGTTGCTGGTTAGACTTCCGAAACTTAAACCTAAATTACAGAGGATTATGTTCAAAAGACTATAACCATTTCAAAGATACAATAAGGTAGATATGTGCAACAAATGTAGGACTCTGGCAAAGATGGGACCCCGCCCCCCATAAACAGTCGCAGTTTTAAGATCGCAAAGGTACACATATCTAATAAAGTGGACTCAAAGTAGGACTGCCAAATATTCAAACAAAAAGAAAAACCTGACATTGGGATATATTTTCTGTCTGCAGTATTTATTGCAACATAAAAATCCAGTTTCGATGTGGTGAGATTTTTGTGTATTCACAGACACCTCCTTTTATAATCTGTCATTTTGTTCTATTTTCCTTTAACTGGTCATTCTAATTCAAAATGACCTCTTACTTGTACCACACTTGCATATAGCCCTTTGCAAGCAAATCCAATGCTAGGCGGCACATTTTGAAATAGGAAATGCAATGTTGTTCAGTGTAGTTGTTCAGTTGTTGAGATATCAGTTACAAGTGTGTTAATTAAACAGATACTGAAGACTGAAGATCAGCTAAGAGCTCTCACCATTGTGTCTGTTTGTCTGCTGTCCATGTTTTACTCATAATTGTATTTTGTTCCTCCTGATTCCACGATACATCCATAAAGTAGTTTTCTTTCCATCATTAAATGACCATCAAATAATCAGAGGTGAGCTTAAAGTTTGCTAAAGCTGTAAAACTGTGTAGGTAAACAGTTAATGCTGAACTTTTGATCCATGCAGCTGTACGCCACACAAACCTCTTGAACAGGTCTGCTTCATCTCTTATTGTAAGCCCTTGTTTGAGGGTTTACAAGCACAACATAAAGTTTAATCATGTGTTGGAGAAAAGCCTGATCTACAGAACTAAGCTGTTAAATATATGAATCCTGAGTGCATGGATAAGGGTTTCACTTCTGGAGAGACTGAAGTACTATCCTGTATAGTAATACTGTTTGTGTTTGGGTTAATGTCAACACAAGATGAGATAAGATAGTCTATGAGCCAAGACCCCAAAATTGACCCATCGCAATAAATCGGGTGGGTAATTTCTAGTTTGTTTTTTTGAGTTGCTCCACATCCCTAGTTTGTGGTTTGGGCATGATAACCCTTGCAGACTGGTAGCTTAGTGATGGTTATCATGTATTTAATCTATGGAGTCCTGTAGCAGAAATACCTGAATTTCGTATGTTGCTTGTTTGCTACTATGGGGCTTGTGGACTACTTGTTGACTGCTCTGCCCCCCTAAATCATTCTGATTTATTCCTAAGTCATTGGAGAACTGAAAAAAAAATAGTTTGATTTGTTGTCCAGATGAAATTTGAGACTTTTATAGCCTTCTTTTAAAAAATATTCATAGGCGGAAATAGCATTTTTATTTTTCTCTTGTGTATCTTTTCTCAGCAGAGCAATCAGGTAATATTTGCATCATTTTAGATACCTATATTAGTTGCAAATTTTGGGGGGAAATCCCAAAAACTACAGCAGCATAGATACAAATACAAAAGAGAAATTAAAGGATATAGAAACTTATATACACAACCCTCAAACACATGAAAGACTGTCCAGAGTAAAAGTAAACTTAACAATCTTCCTCTGCCCTTCATAGACCAAAGCAGTAAAAGAGAAAAACATCTATGATGAGAAGCGAATCATTTCAATTTGTTTGTGACGTTGATTTTTTTTCCTGACCCTCCTAATATCCACCCCTTCTCTCTCCTCTTACAGGTTCCACGGATGGTCGAGGGTCTGACGTCCCACCATTGCTCCCAGATAGCAGGAGCTAAGGATCACACCGTGGTGCTCACTGAAGAGGGCTATGTTTACACATTTGGCCTCAACACATTTCACCAGCTGGGTCTTGCTCCTCCTCCAGCATCGGCACATGTCCCTAAACAGGTAGGGAGTGTCAGAAATAGATGCATGAAAAGAGCTGCTTAGCAGATTTGATCAAATGAAATGAAAATGCGTGAGGTCTTTTTATTGTTTTTTCTGATTTATAGTATGTATGTTCTTTTCTGTTTGACGTTAGGATCGTAGCACACTTACCTGAAGAGTATTGTTCAGTATTGAAGGTAAATTTTTTTGAATCTTGCATGCTATATTTTTTAGTTTATAACTTTTGCTGTGAATGTAGGTGTTTTCCAAGACGCTGAAAGGGAGGACAGTGATTGGAGTTGCCGCAGGAAGGTTCCACACAGTGCTGTGGACCAGGGAGGCCGTCTACACGATGGGACTCAACGGAGGCCAGCTGGGTAAGTCCTAACACGGAAAGGTCAGCTAAGCACAAGATAGTTGTAGTGCTTGTCAGATACATAATGTGACTGCGCAGAAAGTTGTTTGTAGCTCATGCCAGAAAGAAAAGTAAAGCATAAAATGGGAAGCTGATGTCAGCATGTGATGCTAGTGATGGTTATTTAATTTTACGGAAAAGAGGTGGTGTGAGGACAAGAAGAGCTCCCATTATAATCAGGATGGATGACGCAGAAGGCTTTTATTTATCTTGTATATTTTAAGACAAAAAAAAAGTCTTTTTACATAGAAATTTATTTGGTTTTTGTTGTTTCTGTTTCGTGTCCAGGTTACCTGCTGGATCCTAATGGAGAGAAGTGTGTAACCGCCCCACGGCAGGTATCGGCTCTACACCACAAAGATGTCACCATAGCGATGGCAGCAGCTAGTGATGGCGCAACGGTGGTCGTGACTGAAAAGGGCGACGTGTACCTGTTAGCTGACTACCAGTGCAAGAAACTGGCTTCAAGGTGAGTGTGATAAGAGAACCTCAACAACAAAAACTCTTACAGAAATGACAAGAACTTAAATGACCTTGATCTGAATCTTTAAAGACAAAAGAGGACAATCATCCTGTTTCATAAGAACTCAAAAGAAGCTCTTAGACTGTCTGTAATTATAAAATGATACGCCTCACGCATTGAGTTAGTAGACAGATATTCTTTATTGATCTTTTGAAGCGGTCCATATATCCAACATGTTGTTACAGAAGTTTTAGGAAAGTTCTCATTAATGTTTTTTAAAGACTGTACTTGGTGATACAGAGTCACATGGAACCCCACCAGGAAAGACTGAGGATAAAAGTACTATGAAGAAGTGAAGGTTGTCCTTCTCAGAAACAGGAGTTCTGTGTGATTATCGCCCCAAGTTTTCTGATGAGACCATATTAGGCTGTTTATTATCCACCTTACTTGGTACAGTTCAGTTCAATTAAATCTAGCTTTGATTCACATCAGTTGAAAAGTGCTTAGCTGTCAATGTACAACATGTTTGTTAGAAAGTGTATCTTCGCTAGGGCTGCAGCATAATTTTTCTTAGTGAAAACTTCCCGTAAGGAACTTTTAACTAGATTTAAAAAATCTCTTGTTTCCGCTGATGCCTCCCTGTCACCTGCAGCAGCATCTGTGTGAAAATAAGCTTTTTCTAAATAGTAAAAAAGGGAGCCAGTGGTCGGGAACACAGACGACACTTGCATTTTTTTCTCTTTATTTTGCACTGAAAACGCTCATCTTACTGTCACTACACAAACGGAGACAACGTCCTGCAGCAGAAGACTCCTGCAGACACCGTGTCATGCTACAGTTGCAGCCACTGAGTGAGAAGCTCCTCCACACCAGAGACAGACAGGCGGAGCAGCTCTGTGTCACTAACCTTCCACACCTTGGACATTTTTTGCCTTTTTTAAAAATTGTATCCTATTCTCTTTTTTCATCGCTTTTTGTGTTTTCCTCTTGTTTTCCCCTCTTATCATTCATTTTTTCCGCTCCGCAAAACCAAAACCACGCTTACTCTTCCTTCTACCGTAAAGAAGAAGCAGAAGTGCGTTGTGTACCCTTGAAAATAATCTGTGTGAAACAGTGATGATTTGAGTTTATAAACATGTACTTGAGGCAGAGAAAATGCCTCTATCATTTTTTGTAATTGAGTAATTGTTTCAGCCCTAATCTGCGCCAGTTAACAGAGATCTTCAGGCAGAGATGGATGATTTGATGAAGTCAGTTCTACGTGCCAGTATCTGTTTAGTGTTCATTCATTCTGATTGGTCTCTTTCAGGCAGCTGAACATCAAGAAGGTCTTGGTCAGTGGAGGTAGTCTTGACCACCGTGTTGTTCCTCAGATCCTGAATGAAGGAGGAGGAGAAAAGGTGTCCATCTTGGCATTAGACGAAGCTGGGAGGGTAAGTGCAGACAGAGTTACAGAAAGTCATTTTTCTTATAGTTCATTATTTCCACAAAATCAACTAGAGGACAGTTTAAAAATGAAGTTGGATGTCACTGCTGCCTCAAGAGAGAATGTATAACATTTCATTTTCAACTTTCCCTTACTTTCCTTGTCATTATCTAACCTTTTTTGCAAGTTGACGGTTATACAATCCCAAACTGGCCTTTAAGGGATCCTTCAGATGAGAATGGTGACTAAGACTTGTGTGTGTAAGTTTTCCTTAAATTTCTTCCCTCCTCCGTTTTGCCTCTCTTTGTCAGGTGTTTTGCTGGCGGTCCTGTGGCAGCTCTGTGAGACAGTGTCGGTGGGCGTATGGGCGTCAAGTTTTCATGTCGGACATAGCGCTCAGCAAGAACAGCATGATGTTTGTGACTCAGGAGGGGGAGGGCTTCAGTGGCGTGTGGGCTGGAGAATACAAGAAGTACGGGGAGAAGAAAGGTGAGGAATTTAGGTACATGCTGTATTGAATCATAAAGCTGACCGATGTTTTGTAACCATAGACTGCTGCTAAATTTGGTCAGATAGTCAACCTTAGATAGGTAGTAAAAATGTAAGTAAATTTAGCTTCTTGTGTCAGGAACCTTTTATAAAACATAAGGAACAATGCCTTACACAACAGCAGCAGACACACGCTAAAGACAGATGGGGACACGAACATTTACAGCGAGCCTTGAGGTTGATTAGATACATAAAAAGCAGCCCAGGATAAGAACAGAAAGTGGATCAACGTGAAAATAAGAGTATGTGATCATGAATTTGGTTAACTTGCTTCTTGCGATCTTCCAGAGGTCAGTGTGGAGGTTTGTGGTCACTCAGATGCCGGGACAGTCTACGAGCGAATCCGCCTGGAGAAACTCCCCAATGTCCACAGAGCTGTCAGCATCACCATGGACTCCAAAGGCCGAAATTTTGGAGCGTTGCAGTCAGACCCCAAAACAAGGTACGTAACCTGGAGCATAGCACCACTGAAAGAGTGGAGAATTCTGCGTCAGTGGAGTACGAAAAAAACAAATCCTGCATATCAGCTCCATGAGAGGAGACGAATTTATTCACGCTGCTCTCTGCAATATTTCCATTCACAAAACCCTTGTTTTAATATTTTTTGCAATTTCAAGATAAGATTTTCACTTTATTTGTCCCACAAGAGGAAATTCCAAAAATCTACCGCAGCGATAAATACAGAAGAGAAATCAAAGAATGAAGAAACTTAAGAGTGAGAAAGTTGTAAAAAAAGAGATATACATCAGTGTTTTGTACAGCTGTCATGTTCTGTTAAATGTGTTAGGAGTCCTTATGGTTAAATTTGCTGTATGTAAACGGAAAAAACATGACAGATTGAAACAGATAACTCTTAAAACTTAGTGTAGTCGATGTAGTGAACATATTCCTGTCTTGGGTTCAGGTGTGTCATTCTGCCATCTAGAGGTGAAAGTTGCTTTAAAGAAGACAGACACAGTACTGTGTCATAGAACTGGACTTCATACCGTATATGATCGTGGTACAGCACATGTGGGCTGCCATAATAGGGGACGCGGTCTTTCATGAGAGTGAGTCTCTCATTTTTCTTTGTGGTTCTTTATTTGAGCCTGTGTTTCAGTACAGCAGCTTATTTTTATGCTTTCTCTTTTCACTAGAAGAGATTTCATATTGTTACCGAAAAGGTCCCTTTGTTATGTACATCAGTCTTTTCTGTTTAATAGGCACCTGGCCTTTCAGAGATGTCTCTCCCCTCTGTTCCTCTTCCAGATTTAACCTTCTTGTTGGTTTCATAGATCTTACTTCATTGTTATTTTTGTTCATTTGATTAATGATTTAAACACGATGTCCACCTCTTGTCTCCGGCTCAGCTTGTTTGAGATTCCCATTGTTTCTCCATCATCCTTCTCCCAACACTTCCGGAGCCTTCTGGACGAGGCGGATGAAATGGACAGCATCCATGACGTGACCCTTCAGGCGGGCGATCGCACATTTCCAGCTCACAAGTACATCCTGTCCATGAGGTCCGAGTTCTTCCGGAAACAGTTCATGTCTGAGCACAGCGGCGTTGACGAGGAGCTCGACGGAGAAGTGAGGAAGAGTGAAGACGCTGTTGGCTGCGATTTACTCATTCTGGAGAAGATCCCAGCAGACATGCTGGAGTATGCTCTGCACTTCATCTACACAGACTCTTGTGAGCTGCTGGTGCATGGGGCCCGGCCCAGAGTCTCAGGGGCCTCCATTGGACAGAATCAGGTGAGGAAGGAGCAACAGAATGACTACATGTGCTGATGTCTTAAACAACAGTTATCCTCTGTGTTAGTTGTGGTTATTTAATGCTGAACATACTTTGCCTTGGCCAGGACTCAGAGCAGGAGAGGCTTATCAGCAGCCTGCAGGACTTGGGCCTCAGAGGTCGCTCGGCTTTTGAAGTGTATCGCTCCCTACCTCCTGCAGCCAAAGGAGATGGTGACAAGGCAAAAAACAAGAGCGCCAAGCCTGGCAAGAAGGGGAAAGGCGGCAAGGGTGACAAGCCGGGGGCCAACGAGGGAGGGGTCAACCCTGTGAAATCCTTACAGGCTGTTGCGAAAAAGCTCGGCCTGGGAAGCCTGTCTGCACGGTGAGACAGACTGCACTCTAAACCCTTAAAGCAACGCTGGGTTTAATGTTATGTTCTGTTAATCATGCAAACTTTGTTGCTTTTGACAGGCTGGATGGAGTAAAGTATGAAAATGGAAAGATCAATGTGATTAACAAGAAAACTGGCAACAAACCCAAATTCTACCAGAAGAAATGGTATGTATAAGAGTGTACTGTAGCTGTTTGTGTGTAGGATTTCAGATAAGCAGATTATCACATGACAAGAAGAGTTAGTGATCATCTGCCCTTTTGGTTGGCACAGCTCCTATCTTTGTGATGTTACTCTGAAATCTGAAGATGGGAAAGAGTTTCCATGCCACAAAAGTGTCCTCTGTGCACGACTTGGTAAGAAATATCTACTTCAATATTTGCTTATATAACTCTTGATTATGCATGGATGCAAAGGTTTCATGGTGTGATGTCCAGAATGATCCGTGCAGGGTGTCTACACAGTTTGAATTTACATACTTTTCCATACCCTAATTTTTAGGATTATCTTTGCAAATACCTGCTTCTCTATTTTAGAAAACAGTATTTGAGAACTTTGGTAATAGTCTGGAAACATACATATTTTTCATTTTCCTGGAAGTTGATCAAATTTATTTCCATACTTTCACATACTTGTGTAGGAGCCCTGTCCGTGGATAATATGATAGAGCCTTGATATATGTTAAGTGTTCTTAAATTACGGCAAGGTTTTCTAATTTTGTGTCAACCTTTTCTGCAGAATACTTCAATAGCATGCTTGGAAACCCCTGGATTGAGGTACAGGAGCTTTTGATTTTTTACTGTCTTATGAATGCATTTTAAAGAGATCTTGGTACTGATCGTATTTTTACCTTGTGTCCCTCAAGGCCACATCCTGCACTGCCCTGGAGATGCCAACTAGCTCAGAGATCCTGCAGGTCATTCTTGAATACATTTACACCGACGAGTCTCCAACCATCAAAGGTAGCTATTTTTTTTAGGAGTTACACCGATTTACAGTTCATTTGGATTCAGCGTGAAAATACGCACATACTGACAAGACTGACTGTTCTTTCCCTTTCCATTGCAGAGTCTCTGAATGTAGAGTTTGTCTGTAATGTATTGGTCGTGGCCGACCAGCTGCTAATCACACGCCTGAAGGAGATGTGCGAAGTCGTCATCACTGAGAACTGTATGTTGTTTTTCTGTTCCTCTGTCGAGACAGTGTCCTTCACTTCGCCTCGATCATTTTCTTCTCCTTTCATCTTGAAAAAGAAGCTACATTTATGTCACATGAAAAACACAAATTAGTGGGTTTGAATTTAGTTTGAAGCAGAAAATAGCATTTGTTCATGCATAGTAATTTATTCATGATGAACATGAGAGGAGTTCTGTGCAAACTCCTAATGCTCTCGATTCCCAAATGAGGCGCTTTCAGGGGATACAAGTTTCGGCTGAATAAGACAGTGTCTCGACTAAAAAGGGTGAAACGATGATAGTTTTGTAACTTATGGTTTATGAAAGGAGAAGTGCAGACACCAGTGTTGTGTGGTTTATATAATATAGCTGCTGCTGTTCATTTTTAATACCTTTCAATGATTTGATTTAATATTCTCCTAAACATCATCATTTTTAGCTAGCTGTAAAAATTAGAAGCTTAACGAGAAAGACTTTGAAAGCATCTATTTGACCTATTTTGTTGTTTTTGTTTTTTCATTTCTAAATTACATAAAGGGTTAAAGCTGCTGAATTTTCTCAGTTTTAGTTTATGGTAAATATATTTGAAACATTTTATCCTGACGAACTGTTTGCTTTGCCCTCCTCAGTGACTCTGAAGACTGCTGCAGAGCTGCTGGAGTTTGCCACCATGTACAACGCAGAGCAGCTCAAACTCTCCTGTCTCCAGTTCATCGTGCTCAACATGGCCGCCCTGCTTGAGTCAAAGTAAGACTTACCATAGAGTTCTCCTCCAGCTGGGAAAACTCTCTAAGAGTTTGAGTATTTCTTTTGTCAGTTACGGTTACGTATGGCTGCTCTGAAGCCCTCTACAGAAACATTTGGTCACAGTGCAACAGAAAACCCTGCAGGAAAGAACTTTAAATATCTCTCCCTATACGCTCCTGTTGATCTGTCTGTCCCTTCGTTTTTATCTTTGCCTCAGAGCGCTGGATATTCTTAGTGATGAAGTACTTCTGGAGCTTTCTGCAGCCTACAGGAGAATGGTGAGTCACCCCGTAGCAACATCCTCAATTCATGACTTTGATGTTTTTGTTTTGTCTTATGTCTTTTTTAAACCTTTTCGGATTTTTCAATTAAAGCAAAAATAATAGAAGTTGTCGACTGCTGGTTTAACTTGAAAACCGATTTTAAGCAACTACTGTTAGTGTTGTTTGTTCCTTATGTAGCTGGTAGGTCAGTGTAAGTTCCTTTATCATGTTTGATGCAGCTTTTGGAAAATGAACAGGATGGAAAAAAGCACCATGAAACTGAGGATGAAAAAGCAGAAACAAAAAGTGTCAAAATCACCTTTTAAAATGTTGTAAACATGGTTGATTGAAAGGATTTCAACCTGCCTAATTTTTCAGTGCAGCATTTGATTTGCTTATGAAATGCAGGACCACAAATCTCAGCACTGATTGCATTTTGGAAATTCAGTTCTTGAATAGTTTTAATTTATACCGTGGAGTCGAATAACTGATTCCTTTCACTGATTTGATTGCTGCTACTCTGTGCGAATGGTGCCTCTTTAAACAATTCAGGCTTTAGTCCTTCTTGGTTGTTGTTTTCTAAATCTTTTATTTTTTTTCCTGTTAATTCCAGATCCCAGCCATGCAAAAGAGAGTTATCACTCCGTATCCTGGTGCTCCTGACCTCAGCATGTATGAGGAAGAAGATTTGGACTCTGCTTTCAGCTCGAAGTCAGAAGCAAATGTGGATCAGTCCTGCAGGTAAACGTTGCATTCAGCACAGATTTGTATTATTATATCTTCTATAAAAACGTCATTGTTCCTTTCATCTGACAAGTCATTTCCATCTCCTTAAAACACATAAAGATGGTACTTCAAATAATGCCCAATGACTGTGATTCATTACGTCCCTCCAGGGAAATTCTCTTGAAGAAGGCCAAGATGAAGGCTAAAAAGAAACCAAGGCGACGCTCTGACAGCTCTGGGGGCTACACCTTATCTGATATCATTCAAAGCCCCCCTGCTGCAGGTACACTCCTACACACAAAAGATGTCTTGATTGAATTTTTCTTTTACATTGAAAACTACATCATTGCTACACTTACAATGTTTCCAGAAGTCTTAGAGGGAAAGATACAACTTTTTTCTTATGCTTTCAGAATAAAATGTGTGAGCTGCTTGTAATATCATCAGCCTTGTGAATAAAATGTGTCCTTTTTTCCTTTTTTTTTTGTTATTTCTTTTCTTTCAGTGGTCTCCCAGTGCCTGATGAAGTCAGGAAAGGCGAACTCAACTGACTCCCTGCATGAGCTGCTCACATCTGACTCAGAGGGCAGCTACATGGGGGTGGGCAGTCCCAGAGATGTGCAGTCCCCAGTCTTCCACGACAGAGCTGAGGTCAGTGTCCAACTACTGCAAAACCACATGCACTCTTTTGTTTTTCATGTAAACTAGATTTTTTAAAAGATGTGTTTAAATCCCCGCAGACCGTGTTATACTTGTGGTTATGATTGTATTTTGATCAAGTTGTCCACTAAGAACTGTAAATAAAACACAAACCTTAATCTACAGGATGAGAAAACTCTCAGTCAGAGGCTGAAGACGCCACCCAGCACCCCAACTTCCCTGAAGGACTGCCCCAGAACTCCCCCTAACTCTGCTCCACAAACCATCCCCAAGGGCCTCCCCTGGTAAGAGCTGAACAATCCTGTATTTGAAGAAAAACTTTTAATTTTTTCAAGCTGGTAGATTTCAGAACTTGTACATTTACTACAGATAGAGCACTCATAGAGCGCTACACACGCTGGCTTATGATGAAGTACTGGATATGTCCTCCCACCAATAATCATGATTATGTATTCCACATAGAAAATATTCCCTCAATGTTGAGGAGAGGTTTTGCAGGTAGAGGGAAATGTAATCATACCTTGTTAACAAGTTTTGAAAACTGAGCCGTGTCTTGGCCTGTGCTGTTACCATCTGCAGTCCCGCTCGTCCACCTCCAGTCTTGGATCTGAGAACCATTATGGACATGGAGGCCAGCTCTCTGCAGACCCTTGGAGCCACTCCTAAAAGCCCCGGAAGGTATAGCACATCAACAGTACTCAGTCTTGACAAATAATGAATACATTGATGGCTGTTTGCTCCTCATTTATGAAGAAGTTCGCTTTCGTTTAGTTCTGTTACCCAGTTTGAATGAAAGCTTCTCTAACACATTCAAGTGATTTCCTCACTGTTGTTTATTTCCACTAACAGCACATATTTTCTCTCCTGCTTGTAGCGTCAGTGCCAGCGTTAAGCACTCTCCTGTTCCCGCCAAACTGTCGCAGAAGCAGAGAAAGATGTTGGCGATGGCCAGCAAGGAGGCCAGTGTGGAGTCGACTGCATCCAAATCAACCCCCACAGTTACCCCGTCCAAAAGCAGTGGGAAGGCTTGGTGAGTGAGCATTGAGACGAAGACCACTACTCAGATCTATCAAAAATGCATTCCTGCTCCTTCTCCCCCACAGCTTTTGTTAAAGGTATACTGTGGAGTATTATGGAGAATTATACTGACCATGTACCACAGGAGCTTCTTGTCTCCTCTAATGGGAAGAGTGAGCAGGGAGCATTTTAGTTTCAAGAGCTGATGGCTAGATATCCTTAAATATTCCCATTTTTTCAAACTGTACCTTTAAATCTGATTCTCAGTCCGTACATCACTTTTAGATTTTCCTGACATAATTCTTTTCACATCAAGTTGCTGTTTTGTGCTCTGACATTGTCATTGATGACAGAAAAAGCTGTATATTTTTCTCAGGGCATGAAAGAAGTTTTGCCCTCTGCAACTTTTAACAGTCATTTCTCACCGTCTCACCTTCACTATAATGTATATATTAAGAGATCTGAAGTGTCTAAAGTTGCTCATTTTTCCACAAGAAGATTTAAGGTCGTAACATACTGGTAAATAAGCGAAGCGAATTTGCAAAGCGAATAATACCCTCATAAATTCAATGCAAGTTTAAGGCTACAAACTTCCACAGAGTGATCATTTTTTCGCCCCGTAGCAAATTTTGCAAACATATTCAAGTGAACTGCTGTATAAATCTATAGCCTAATATGAATCTTACTTCAGACACATGGAAAGCCGTTGCTCTGGATCAACCAGCTCTCTGTAATTTGTCCTCTCCTTCTGCAAATGTGGAGTCAGCTGATGGAGCAGTTCTTGAAATTGTCCGAGGGACATTTAGAAGTATTGTCAGAATTTCTATGGATACAATTTAAGCTCCTGTATCGTTGTGTGGAGCTCCCCCACCTCCTGTCACAGGGTCGGTATTGGATGTACCCAGACACTTCAATTCTTCTTTTTCTTTTTGTTGTTTAATAGACTTAAAACCATGACCAGGTCATCATCACTTGAGGATGTAGTCACCATTGTTTCTCCTTCTCTCTCCCCCTCTGTTCTCCTGCGGCGTATTTTTGTGCGAATATGCAAATTTTATTTGCGTCACACCAGGTGTGTTGGGAAAAGGCATAAACATAATATTTATGCATTTTTGCATCACTTTTACACCTCGCTTTGCTAATTCGTTGGTGTGTCACGTCCACTTTTCATGATTAAGTGCTTGTTACTTTAATAAGAAAAATGTTAAAACGTCAGGGTCACTAGTTTTTCACATTTGAGATTTTAATGTCTTACTCACGCTTTTCTTGTCTTTGTCATTTGTGTCTTTCTGCAGGGCGACATTAGTCCAGTCCCCACCCTCTTCATGCTCATTTCGGGCACTGCTGGAGGAGGAGGAGAAGCGCTTGATCAAAGTGGGACAAACAGGAGTCCAGAGAGGCCAAGCTTCTCAGGGGTCCCCTGTTACTCCTACTACTGCAGCCAGAAGGGTCACATTCAAATGTGCAGAAAGCAAAGAGCCAGAGAGACCCACCGGGTGAGTTTTGGATCTTTGACAAAGTCAGCTCTGTTCAGCTTTTGTCCACTGGGTGGCACTGTTGAAGTGTTTACATGAATCATCTGGAAAGTTAGTCTCTTCTTTCAAATCTGCTGCCCACTCACTGTTTTTATGAGATACAGGATTTCACAGTAAGACTAGTCATTTCATCATCAATTTGATTTAATGAAACAATTCTTTAGCCATAAAAAGATATACTCAACATCTCTTTAAATCCCAGCAGGTTCCTTTGTTGTTTTTGTTGTTTTGGAGTCGACACTGGCTTTAAGGATATGTAAAAAAGGGGAAGTGAGGGTGACACTGACATGTACTCCCCTGGTCAGACAGATCAAGAGAGATTTGATGCTCCGGCCTGAGTGAGGTGAACAGCTTGAAATGACCCAGTCCAGCTGGCCTGACCTGCCTGCAGACACTGAGTCAGTCTGACCTTTACAACATCCAGCCAGCTGGACAAACACAGCACACACACATGTACACACAGAGCAGGATGAGCTGGGATCCAAAAATATTCATTTCTAGTTTCTAATGTGGTCCTTCATGTGTGACTCAGAGAGGCTCGAGGAAACAAGACTGGAGGTCATTTCAGGTCTTAAAAAAAACATCTCTAAAGCAGTTTGTAGGTCTGTTATCTGATAGTATCCTGCCTCCTCAGTATGTTTACCTTCATCTTTCAGAGCAGCCCTGTAGATGTCAAACAGCTGTGTGAGTGTCTCAAGTGAAGGCGGTGATGTTGATCAGTATTGATAAGGGCAGCCCTTGTGTCACAACAGATCATCCAGTACAGGGAGCAGGTTCCAGGTTTCTCTCTGTGTCTGGATGATGAGCAGAGAGATGGACGAGTTCAAGGCTCAGGTAGTACCCGGAACCTTGGCTTGGACATTTCTCCTGTTTGCCTTCTGGGACACTGTTTCCATATCCCCCGATCAGAATGAATAGAGATGCCTTAACAACCTTTGTACTTTGATTGAATATCAAACTCTCTTTTTTCCCCTCCTGATGTCTTCTGCAAAAATTTCCAGTGGTGTCCTAATGCCAGATTGAAATACTCATACACAAAAACAGACTCCACATATTCCATATGGCTTTAACATGCAGCGTGGTGAGTGATGAGGATGTTTTTTGGCCACAATTATAACACACTCTTTATGAACTGTGTCTCCAGCCTTCTCGCCACATCTTACAAATAACAAATCACTGCAAAGGAACACAAGTCATCCTGCTGAGAGTTCATGTCGTCTCTTTGACACGTCATATTTCACGTGTCATTTTGAATCGAGCGTCAAGGTCCTTGAAGGAAAAATTGGTTTTCTTAAGGGGTATAAATATTCATAGAGGAAGTAACATTTCCTGAAACCCATGTTATAGTAAAATATAGTTTGGGTTACGTTGCAAAGTTTAAAAACAAAACTGGTGTATTGGATGTAGAATTACGGCTCTTTTTAGTGAGCCAGATCATTCGGCTCAGCTCATCAAGAAGAGCCGGCTCTTTCGGCTCTCAAACGGCAGTGTTGTTTTCTTTTTTCCACGACGAAGACGTGATGTCGACGAGCTAAACATAAGTCTTGGATGACTAAAATGTGACGAGACGAATGTGCGTTTACGTTGACAAGACGAGACGAGACGAAAATGTTAGTGGTGGACGACGAACAGAGTTGCAAAATTCATATGAATTTCGTCAGTCAAATGCTAAACATATTCTGCTGTGTTGTTTTCATTGACGATGATGTTGACGATATTTCGTCATCGTCAATGAAAACAACACTGCCAAATGGCTCTTCATTTTTTCACTTGCACATTTTCTAATTCAGCCAAATTTAGCGTTGTTTGGCTTGTGATATGTACATATGTGTACACATACTTCTTTAATAATTCAATACATTCTTTGTACTGAAGTATTCACAAGTAAAAAAATACATTTTTTAATATGAGTAAATTGCTGTAGCCAGTTGTTTTCGTTGCATTTACAGACCCTTATGACTCTCTGAACCCCCCCCCAATGAATGCACTGACTTACTTGTAGAACCACTCAGCTTCACAAAGCAGATAGAAATCCCGTCATTTCTGCCTCATAGTTTTTTTCTACCGTCTGTGGGGGAAAAAAAAAAAAAAAAAAAACAGTTCACAGACAGAAGCTGGCTCCCATCGTTCATGTTGAAGAGCCGGCTCTTTGAACCGGTTCGTTCGCGACAGACACATCAGTAATTGTGTCCCACCAGCTTCACTGAGGACACAAGAAGTCTGTCTGTTTCCTGTTGTAGAAGCAGTGTAGCAGAATAAAAATAAGAAATCCTATTCCTGTTAAAAAGCTTTTGAAGGGGTAAACCAAGACTATAAAAGACCAGTGTTATCACAGAAATCTGGGTGGTGGTAAAGGCTTAGATGATACTTTTAAGATTTTACAACTGTAATAAGGATTTCTATTTTATTGATTGATCTAACTGAATCGCTCTACCATCTTAGGTTCTGATTTGTTATGTGCAGTGATTCTGGCCGACTCTCACAGCTCTTACAGCTTTTTCAAGAGAATTAAAGTCTAAAAATAAAACATTCAAGCCCGTGTTTACTAGCTCGTGTAAACTGGATTTGTGAACGATCCAAAGTCTGAATGCACATCGATCATAGTCTCAGGGTGTTTGGAGCTTCAGAGTCAAGAGACGTCGAGATGAACCACAACAGGGCCGAGACTTGTCTCCTGTGGAACTAAGTATATTAGACCTGAGCTCTTACATCAGGACCTCAGAGTTCCTGGTCTCCAGATGTACTTGGACGAGATTTTCCGGTCCTCCTGCATCACTGAGGTTGAGAAGTTTAATAGTGCTGTTACGCACCATGGAGAGGTTTATGTAAGGAAGGTGGACAGGTGGCCGCTCACAAACAGCAGCTTGTCAGTTGTTGTTGACTCAACCTTTGTTAACACACGCAAACACACAGACACACACACAGTCTCTTGTTGCTTTCACTTTCAGCGCACAGGCCTTGATACCTGTCCTCTCTCTCCCTCCCTCCCTCCTCGTTGCACCCGTCTCTCCCCTCAGGCCCTGGGTGCTCGGGGCAGTGGGCAGCCCTCCCCTCTCCTCCACGGTGACCTTTGCTTCCATTGTGGAAGAAGAGAAGCAGCAAGAAGCTGCACTGATTCGCAGCCGAGAGAAGCCTCTGGCACTCATCCAGGTAAACCATGAAGTCTATGTGTGTTAGTGCTGCGCGCGCGCGCACACACACACACACACACACACACACTCTCCTGCTGCGGCTGAATGTAAAGCATTGGTGTAGAATTTAAGTGAAAAACACAGCTGTGTTTCTATAGTGGACCTAACTTATATCCTCTCTATCTGGAAGCCATTTCTCTAATGAACTTCACACTCTGCTCTGTGCTGGTTAGACCTGGTCTTGAAAGCTCTCCTCGCTCTTCTTTAGCTCCTGCCAGGTCTCTGTCAGCACCTCCACAAAACACTGCAGCTTTCTGGTTGTCATTATTTTAAACATTTTTATAACCATCGAGCTTTCAATGTCAGCATTTTCTCTTCCACGCTTAGATGAAGCATGATTTTGTTCCCACATAAAATCTCCTCTTTTTTTATTGTGCTTTTCTGCGGTTGCAGATTGAAGAGCGGGCAATCCAAGACCTCCTTTGCCATTATAAAGCACGTGACAACCCCGATGAGCTGATAGTGGTGGAGAGGTCTTCCAGAGGTCCTATCGCAGCCCCGACCTGGAACAAACACTAATGACTAACAGCTCATCCCCTTCATACCATTAAATTGAGAACATCGCCTACAGTTGTCCCTGTGTAACATCATCTGATCCATGAGTATATGTGGAGTCGTGTCTCAGAGTCCTCTTGCCCTGTGTGGTATTAGTTTGATGCAAACCTTTGCTCATCTCTGCAGTGTTACTTTAAGTTTTATTTCATGCTGCTCAGATTTTAGTTTGGACGGTGTGACAGAGAGTCAGCTGAATGTAATCCTGAGAGAATACCTTGGCCTGGGATCACTTCTGTTATTTACATGATATTTAGATTAGGTTAATACCTCGATTTGGTAGACCAGTGACAGAAAAATGAACCAACTTTCCAACATACTATTAGGTAATTTAAGTCTAAGGTGCCAAAGACAATGGAAAGATAAGAAAGCCAAAAATGGGTCCAAACTCCATCACCAAGAGGACTTGTTGTGTTTGTATTTTGTCTGTTGAAGCTTTTAAGATGATGATGATGAAACAGAAAAAAGTGCCAACCATCAACTGTGGCAGAGCATAAGCTATACTCAAGAGGTAAAGTCAGCTGTGTACCGAGGCAGTGACTCTCTTTTTCTGGTCCTTTTCTTTTCCTGATAAGTGCATTGTTTGGACCGGTCCTTTCAGCTCAGAAGTAGTGACGAGGTTACTTTGCTGATGTTGGTGAAAATATGTTTTCAGTTTAAAAAGCATATGTAGGATACTTTACTGGAGGCAGTTGTAATGAATGGTAAATACTCAGTTTGCAGTGTGTTTCAGAGGAGGTGGTGTGCCTTTATCCCTCGATGACCACACTTCAATACAGCAGCTAAAATATCATTTTCTCCTCTTTGGTTTCTCTCTTTAATTTATATTAACTCTCTCCAGTTCAGAGCTGTCATAAGCTTTGAAGGTACCTCAGATCTGGACCGTGTCATCTTTTCTTCAGATGCCATTTGATTGTTTTTGTGTGTGTGCGAGTGAGTGAGTGAGCGAGATACAAGGTTGTGAAAAGAAAATGGCATGTAATAAAATATCTCAGCTGTGCAATGATCCTGTTTCCAGACTCTATTTCAGTTAGGGTTACAGCCAAGAGACGAAATCAAAATTTTCAATTATTTCCTTTTTCTTTTTCCTTTTTTTTTTTGCACCCTTAATAGCAGAGACTCAGTCTTTGTGTGAGAAACATGTTTCTTTCTGCATTTAATGAAGAGAACGCTTAATCTGCCTGTGCCCTGACACTTTAGCTGCCCTGCATGAGCAGAGGACCATTATAGAGTCTCCGTCAGTGATTAAATGTGATGACCCTGATCTGAACAGCAAGTGGGCTGATTAAAAAACTATATTGGCTCTAATTGCAGGTAGAGCGTCACATAGACAGTCAGGGAGAGACAGATCGTGAGGGAAATATTAATTACAGATTAGGATCTATTAGGCGGTGCAGAGATGGCACATGAACCAAGTCCTCTGAGGAAGAGACTGCCACTTTACATCACTCCTCGGTGAGCTGAGCTGAATCCACAAGCATGGAAACCAGTCTGGGCTTTTTCAGGACTGCTCATCCTCAGCGTCTGTGCTCTGAATCAAAACATACTGTTTCTGTGGGTGCTGAAGAGCCACATCAAATGTTTTAAAATTAGATTCGTTAAAGCAGCCTTGTCAAGGAGTTGAAAATCCTCCTCACTCTGTTTAAGTGTGTTTACATTTGCATTAGTATCCTAAACATGAGAACCAGCAATACCTCGGTCTAGGATAACATGTGGAGCAGTATCTTGATTTCTCACCACCTTTTCTGGACTAAAACTTCACTCTGAAATCTGCAAGGTGTCGAACTTTCAGCACAAAGAAAAACTAGGACCTGTGTCCATGTGTGTGTAAAATAAAATGAGGACACTTTAAACACCAGATTAGTGGTACAGTGTGTAAAAATAGAAATATTTAGCTATTTCTAGTGGTTTAGGTTCCATATTGAGACACTCCCTTGCTTACTCCTCCTGTTCTGTAAAGTTTTACAACTCCTGTGATGCGTGAGAAAATAAATACTCTGTTTTTTTACTTCTAGCCATCCGAGACTTCAATCAATACAAATTCTTTTCTGCACAGCAACTCTCTTTTCCTCTTTCCAGCTGGTTTCAGCTGCAGCAGTCTTGCACTTGATACAAAAAGGCATATGTCGCTAGTTTGGCTGTTGGGTGCTACTGTAAAAGCAAAGGGATGCAAGATGGCGCCCTCCATAGAAGAGAACCTGCTCCTATGCAGAAATCAAAACAAAACATAAAACATGTTTAATTTTTAAGGCGATTACATGCTAATTCAAACATGCTAATGAATATTTTGTTCTGTTTTCTCCCCAGTTTGTTCTGCTATATGTGGTTGAGTACGTCACACTTAACCTTAAAGACCACATTACTATGTGGATGCCAAAGCTTTGTGTTGATATTCATCGACATGATGCAGAGAAATTTCAAGTCACATGTGAACCTCAGAATGCCTCATCCGTCATCAGCTATTTACCTTCCAAATACATTCATTTTTATGGACTTTGGATCGAGTATTTAGGTTTTGGTTTTCCTTAGAAGGTAAGTTTGAGTATTATAAAATCTAAACATGGTATTTAGGACAGTTCAGTTGAGGTTGCACTCTCCCCATCATTATTGTAGAAAGAGAGAGATGTTTGAACGTTTCAGGCCAGTGCTATTGCTTACTTTAGCCAACCGCTTTTTGTCTACCTTTTATCCGAGATGTCTGTCCAAATGTGTCAGTCAATTTCCCTTTTAATTTATCTATCCGAACCCTCTGTCCCTGACTTTTGGAGACATCTTCCCCACTAGGAACCCTGAACATTCATCAAGTCCAGTTAAACTATTTATCCATTACTCTATGTCATCATCGGTCATATATCATGTCGATTGCTTGTCAGTTTAGCCATTTGTCTACAAACCGTCATCATTTAACTATCCAGCTTACTGTTTTGGCCAAAAATCAAATCCAGTTTTATTTTCAAAATGTATTTAATCTACTCGAGTTTCTCTACAATCACCGCTGTAGAGCACATATTCCTGCAGCGAGGGCGTGGCAGAGCTGTGGAGGGATGGTTGAGGATAGAGCCTGACTATTGAGCCATATTGTGAGGCAGATGGTAAAGTAATAGGAACAGTGAGGATAACCTCAAGATGAATTTGTTTATGGAGAAAAAGGGAACTTCTGGACACTTTTAGGAATAATTTCTGCATTCCTAATCTGCTCTGACTGGATAGTGCCAGGATCGAGCAAAATCAGCGAGGCTAAACTCCCCATTTATCCAGGCTGATTTCATCACTCATCGAGCTGCTTCTTATCGTCATCTGTTAGAGTCTAATGATTATAAATGACACTTAAAGTACTTCTCCACCTCCTTCTGCATACAATACATCAGTCCAGTATTCCTGGCAACAAGAGAATAGAAATCTTACACCTATAAAGAAGCATAAACAGGTTATTTTTAGAAATCTTTATATTCTTCATATACTTATTTTTGATGGGCCCAGATTTGTCTTTAGTGTGGGCACAATATAACATCATTGGTAACTTATGCACCTGAGATAACCTTGTGGGCATTTGTTCCCACAAGATAATATACTCATAAGATGACTTTTTTTTTTTAACTAATAACTAAAGTTACAACACTAAGGGTTCTATTTTCTTTCCTTGCCGTCGGCGTGGCGCACGAGTCCAGTCCTTTTTCTTCCAAGCCCACGTAGGACACTTCTGACAACGCCCCCAGTTCAGGAGTGGCTCGATATTAAGAATGTGACAGCTGTTCTACCTTCCTCTAAGAGATGTGTGCGTGGTCGCTTTGTTTGAAATGACATCAGCCTCAGTCCACTCCCCAAGAAACCCACCCAATGCCTTGAATTGATTTTTTTTTACAACCTTCTCAATGCTGCTCATTTCCCCCTCTGGGTCATCTTTCCATCTATATGTTTCCATACAGTACTCTGTGTACTGCCAGTCTTTTCAGCAGTGACATTGTGTGGCTTACCCTCCCTCAGTCAGCAGTCTTCTATATCAATGTGGTTGAATGTACTGATCAAACCCAGAGATACATTTTGTTCTGCTTAAACCCAAAATCATTATTTCATATTTTGACTTTTTTAACTGTCAGCCATAAATTGAAGTGGAAAAACACTTGACACATGTAAATTTACATGTATATTAAATTTGGATATTTTAAGTGATAAGAAATAGTAAAGTAAAAGTGGAACTGACTGACAAAAATGAGCTTATATGTCCTGTTTTTAAGCACTGATGGTAAATTCACATCAGGGTTACATCTCAATAAATTAGAATCTTGTGGAAAATTCCAATAATTATTCCACTTATTATGTAATATTTCTTTGTCTGAGATTAATCGAAGCTGACCAAAGTGCGGGTTTAGCACAGTGGGTCATCTCTGGACCTGATGGTAAAATGAAAGCTGACTGTCCATAATACCTTAGATACTTAAGAGTTATTCATACTCTTCTTCAGCCCCAATGGTGACCCCTGTCTAAAAGAGTCTTCCAGCCTCTTAGTTACTCTCCCTAGTCTCAGTCAGGGAAGGGTAAAGGTCCAGCAAGATCATCCAATCCTATTTAGTGGACATGGAGCCAGTTAGCCGTGGATTACCTTACCCCCCATGGCCGTCACTCAGCTGGTAGCTTTACAGAGATCATCGGGGCCTCACAGGAAGTGTTCCACTCTGAGAATGTGGCAGGAACGTGTGGCCTGTCTTTGCCATCTTGGCTGCCGTTCAGCTGACGTCCTCTTGCTGTCAGTCTGACAGGCTGACAGACACGTGCCTGTTGGCAAAGCGTGAGGTTCTGTGACGTCTTCAGAGTACTGGCACTGAGCCTGTGCCAGACCGGTGGATTTGATGACAGTAGTTGTGACTGTGATGGAACCTGGCCACCTTGGTGAAGCTCACGCTCCAAATTCCCTCTTGGCCATAATAGGCTTCACAAACACACAGTCAGTGATATTTTGTGCAAAACACTTTTTAAATCATGGTTGTTAAGGTCAGGTCTGTTCAGAGCCAGGTCTGCATGATGACTTGGATGAATATAGTTTAACAATGCACCAATTCTAACTCCTATGTTTGTTCCGCTTTCTCTTATCTCCTTTCCTTCCTCCTTCTTCTTCCTCTTTCTTACATTTTTTTTATTTCAAAGTTAAGTTCACCACAAAGACATTTGATGCCTCTCTCCCCTCATGCAAACAGTAAACTTAGCAGAGCTAAAATAAGGGAACCTGGATCTGCTCAAAGGTAACAGACTTCCCTCTCACTGAGCTCGTCTATATGTTTATAAAGTGTTTGATTTGCAGTTTAAATTTCCACAGACAAGACTCCAGGAACCAAGTGCACCACCCTGAAAGTTCCTGTCTAGTGCCCAGATCTCTTACTTATCACCTGGATGTGGTGGCTGAAACCCAATAACAGTATAAATTAATTCTGAATAGCAACAGCACTACTAGACAACACATGCCAAATGAAATACATCTTCAAATGCACACTCTTGCCATGAACGCACTCACTTAGTCAAATCTGGGACTTAAAGATGTATAAATAAATTAGTAAGTCATGTTTAAATCAACTTCAGCTAGTTTGTGTCTCTAAGCTGTAGCCATTGGGCAATGTCTACAGAGCCGGGGGTTATATGAAATACAATCTTTACGAGAGACATGACCTTAGTGTGTATAAGGAAGGGGTGTGAGGTTTTGATAGCACTTCACCTGCTGTTTCTCATGTTCCCCATATCTTATAGTTAAACTTACAAGCTACCAGTGTTAGCTTCGTGTTAGAAGCATAGCCTTCTATAATATGGACAACTTGGTTCCGCCTTCCACCAGTATACAGATTCAAAGCCAAAAAGCTCTTGGTATTTCCAGGTTTCTTCTCCACCTCCATTGCGCAGTAGTGTTGTACACACTCCACTACTTGTGCAGTAGTGCACTTGTACACATTTAGCTAAGAGTCGCTGTGATGACGCCCAGCTCAAACAGCGTAACCCTCTGGGTGAGCTATGCAATCTTCGTACACCTATAGGCTGTGTCAAGTGTCAATCATAGAAAACATAAACCCCCTTATAACTTTTAAAAATTGAGCTGCACAGAAAAAAAGACGACTTGAGCACAAACCAGTCTTACAATAACTACATGTCAACATCACAACCAGGGGAGACAAAAATGTATATTCTGCATAACTTATTTTCTAAAGTTTGTACACTGATCCATAGGAATTGCTGGAGGAGGCGGGATTTATGACCTATACTGCAGCCCGTCATCAGAGGGTGCTGCTCTTGCGGTGGCTTCACCCAGCAAGGAGGCAGACGGCGTCCATTCTATATACAGTCTATGGTTAGAAGCAAGATAGGATAGCTCAGATTAAAAAACCACAATGGAAACCTTTCGAGTTCCAGGCGTGGCTGTTTAAGGTGGATGTTCTCCAGTTCGCCTTCAGTGGGTTTGAACATCCAGATAGAGGAGAGGCTGTCTAACCTTTCTGGTGGATCTATCAAATGTAAGTTAGCCAGAGATAACACGTACAGGACCAGATTACAGCACTGTCTGTAGTATCTATCACTCTCCCAACCAAGTGCTTTAGCAGCAGCATCAAGCTCCTTCACTGTCTCTGGACCTGCTGCCTGTGAGATCATAGAGACCCTATAATAAGGCAGATTAGGTGAAATGGGCCTCTCTATCTCTGTGAAACAGGAGGCCCTCTGTAACCTTCAGCATTAATCTGTCACGATCATTTGAAACCAAACTCACCACACACCATCTCTCGGGATCAAAGCGCTGGAATAAAGGGTCGCTCTGTATCAAGGTGGTTGCTGCTGCTTCTTCTCTGCACAGACCCTGTATAACCCCTCGATGCTTTTCCTTAACGGCAGAGTAATTCTCCAGGTTTTAGTCACTGGGGGTCAGAGGCAGTTTGACTGAATAGGACTGGAAATCCCATCTCTGTCCTTGTGCCTCTGATCCACAACCAAAACTAACTCAACCGTCAGCAGAGGGAATATCTCTCCGACAGGCGGGACAAACTAATGCGACCCTCCTGGAAATCCAGTTATCTCTCTGAAAGCTGGGGGAGACTGGAGGAGGAGAGAGGAGACACAGAAATGACTGGATCTTTGTTTTCTAGTTATGTCACTGCTCACAACTCCCCAAGCATCATTGGCTCTGGCACTGCTCGCCCATATGTGAAACCATCGTCACGCTGCATGACTTCTGAGGTCGAGTGTTTCTGATCGAATTTGACACCCAGTTATTCCGTCTCCTTAACTTCTCCAGGGCACACTGGCCGTAGGAAAAGAAGAAAAAAAAAGACGGTTTCTACTTCTGTTGACAGTTTAAAAATGAAATGTTAATTAGTTGACACTCTATATCAATCTTTTCCTGTCATTAAAAAAAAACACATTCGGCTCTTATGCCAACAGAGATTTTTACACCTTGCATGGATTGTTTCATCACTCATCGCTGCTTAATGGTCTGTTTCCCCTTCTTGGCAGCAACAGAGCAGGCAGCTGTGCTTTCTTCTCTTCTGCTGAAGGTAAGGGTGGAAGAGAGAGGCCAGATTTTTACTGAATTACTCCTAATGAGCCAGAAATTGGAATAGCATGCCAGAAAAAGATGAAAGCTCAACATCCTCTTGATGAGATTCAGTGAAAAGGCAGAAACAGAATTCTACCAAACACATTTCCTGAAATATAGGACACATCAAACAAGCTTTTATTGCTTCCCATTTATGAAAAATATCTCATTCTAACAAGGGTCTGGGGATTTGATTAATAAAAGGCAATTTTAGGGGAGTTGGTTGTAACAGGTTTACTGAGTTTTTGAGCTACAGATCTCAGACTTAAATATAAAGTACCCAATTCACTTCAGACCTCAGTCGGAATATAGACCCTCTGAGTTAATGTCCACTGTTTCTTTGTTATAACCTGCTTGTCCAGAGGGGTAAGTACTTACAATAGATATGGCTGGCGTTGTCATAGTAGGTTCTTGTTAATGTAGTTTTCCTGGTTTTGTAATTAAGTTTAATTACCTGTGTATTTCCCTCGTGTTTCTATACTCGATTGTTCCTGTTTCCCTGTTAATTATTCTTATGTTCCTGTTGTTAATGTGTTTTTCACAGTGTGTTTTTTGTTGGTTCAGTTTTCAGAGTTCCCTGTTTTATTTTGCAGCAGTAAACGAAAGTTGACAGGCGTGTTTTAGCGTAAAACTGACATGGCATTTTCCATAGATGAGTTTGATACCAGCCCTTCTTGGGAGAAAATTAACAAATGCACAAAAGCTAAATTTGGTCATGGACATCATAAAATGGGGTCGTTATATTCAAGTATTGTTTATTGTATCGTGTGTTTCTCTCTGGCCTGGCTGTGTCTGGTCTGGTCTATGTGTAGCGTGCGTCGCCTGTTTTGTATGTAAATTAAGTGTACCATCTAATGCCCCTGAATGGCTGCTCTGACAGCCAATTGGGGGCTCGTCCTCACAGTAGGCTACTTTTTGTGTCTTGATATTTCTTGGCTGGTAGTTTTTTCTTGCCGTGGGGAGGTACTTGTGTCGCGCATAGCTATCAAGCTGTTAAGTATCCTATTTTGGCTGTGAAACTACCGTATTTTACCCCTCGTTCCCGATGTCTTTCCATATTAGTATTGTCCCGTAAATCTTCTGTATTATAGAGTATGTATAGCCTATAAAAAAAAAACATTATTCTGCCTCTCCAAACTGAACTCTGTCACGAGCACTTCCATGTGGGGAAAGAAACACAGTCTACAAGAACAGGTGAATATTTAGCTCCAGTGCTAATGCTTACAAGATGACAAGTCCTACATTGAGTCACAGCTGTCAACTGACAAAAAACAACACATTAATAAACAAAACAAAATATGATCCAAAGTGTGACAGGAAGATCCCTTCTGTTACCATGCTGAAGCACTGGGTAAGGAGCAATAATACTGTATATTTAGACTGATATAATGTTCAGAATTATCATAATGCTTTTGATATTCTTGAATTCCAGGATCCTGATTAATTATTTACAGTCAATCAAACTTTATTTATATGAACAAGTGTTATCTTGAGATGCTTTATAAAAAGGCTGGTCTATACCAGCTCTGTTTACTCTATTTACAAAGACCTGATATAAAGATAGGATAAGATTGAGCCACATCTTGCAAGATCAGACCCACTTTAATCCCCCCCTTCAACCTAATGAGTGTAGAAGTAGAAGTTTGCAGCATTTAGCAAGTTACAGTGGAGAGGAAAACCTCCCTGGAGACTGATGCACATAGTTAAAGCAGCTGGAGAGCAGGCAGGTCCACAGCAGCAGGATGATCCAGAGGAACCTCTGGTATGAGGGAGCTCAGGGACTCCCAGAGCAGACTGTGGTTAGTGACTTTAATGGGACATTATTTCATAGTCAACAGAAACTAAAGAAGGGGAGAAAGGTGGTCAGTGTGCAAGACTCCCCTGGCATCCTGAACCTACAGCAGCATAACTAAGAGCTGCCCAAACCTGAACCAGCCCTAACTATAAGCCTTAAAGAAGAAAGTTTTGGGCCTGCTCTTAAATATGGAGATGATGTCTGCCCCCTGAGTCTTAAGTGGTAGATGATTCCAGGGGAGGGGGGCCTGATTACTTAAAGCTCTACCACCCAGACCACTTTTAAAGACTGACCCAACAGACATACACTTTGGATTATGAATCCTGAAGATGACCGTGCCAACTTGTGACCCTCCAAAACATGAACCATATGTGATGCTTTCTGGGGTGGACGTGAGTAAATGAGTCTGTGTGAATGAGAACATAATGAATGCAGAATGAATATTGAATGAATATTTTCATATAACTCCATGGCTGTCTGAGAAACTATATTTTTTAATTGTTATTGAATTCTGTGGGCTGCCTGACAGGCGTGCTCATTTATCCGCCATAGTTTCAGAATAAAAATATGCATTCTTGAGGTTGTATGACCTATGGAAGACATATTTATATTAAACATACACTAACCAGCAAGCTGTTGAGCTGTTCTGTTTGTGTTTGTTGTAGGTATTATGCTAGTAAGCTAGCATGCTAATTTTAACACATTCATGGGCTGAATTAAAAATGGATATCATGATAGCTCCAGAAAATTGAGGCCAAAAATTTGCAAAGCTCTATTGAATGGGTGGCAGCAGTGAAAGTATTAAGGCTTTCCAAAGTTTGCATGAAATGTTTCTGTAACACTGAATCTGTCGTTGCATATCGCTTTTCTTTTAAGACCTCATCAAAGGATTCTGAACACCTTTGTCAGACTTTCTTTCTCACTGACAGGCTCTCTGAAAAAGGACTTAGACAGTAAAATGTAGTCAGTGCTATATTAGACGTGTTACAGTCCAACCCAACCGTCTGCTAATATTTACAGCTGTCTGTTAAACAGCGAAGAAAAATGCACTACATTTCCCCAAGGAAATTATGTGTTATCTGCAATAGCCTAAACAAAATATAGTTTTAGTTAAAAAGAATCACGATTTAACCTCAGAATAACTTTTTACATTTTAGAAACTAGACGCCCCTGTTTACAGTCTTGTGCATTCCTATGTGGAGTCAGGAAGAAGCACAAACACTGAAATGTTGATGTGGCTTCTATGTTACTCCTGATTTAGTAATGGTAATGTCACAACTGACCCCTACCCCACTTACTATTTCTTACAAAATTTCTCAAAAAAATAGTCAGTGTTTCCTCACAAATGTTATGTAAGGGCGGAAGTAATGCCTGCACCCTCTGAAAGTGTCACTTTTTCTAAGTTGCTTTGGCTGAGTTCTCAAATAAGACATAAAAAAAACAATTTGTTGGTTCCTTGTATTAAAAAGTGTTCTTCAATTAACTCTGCAAAATGTGTTACGTGGTGTGCTGCATAAATCAACATTTTAGGGAAATGCACCTTCAGAGCTGAATCATGTAAACGTGTGCAGAAAGACACCAAAGTCTTTCTATGAGATCTGAAAGGATGATAAATGGCTTAGTAAAATACATGTAAAGCATGAAAGACATACAAATAAGCCTTTTGCTCATGTACGAGATTAAAGGGGATTACAGGAAAGAGATGAAAAAAAACTGCTAAGATCATTTCATGAGTGCGTTGGTGAATTGAAAAACTATAGAAAAGAAAAAATGGTTATTAGATAATAGATCATGTGTGGAGAAGGTTTGGTGGTCCATCCCAGCAGACATCCCTGACCTGCAGAAAAAACCTCAAAGGCAGTGGGGATGTTACACTTTATGGGAGATAAATCCAGCTCGTGCAGTCAGATAAATGGCACTGGAAAACAAAACAGGTCTCTCTCTTTTTATAGGGACAGACTGTCCAGAAGATGTTTCATGGACCCCTGAGACAGGCAGTGAAAAAGATTCCTTTATGAGGAGGAGAAGTAGTCTCCCACATACATTAGAGCATGGGAACTGTGCTCTACAAAGCCTTTTCCTTCTTTCCATATTTCAGGTTCCTGAAGGCAAAAAAACAAATAAACACAAAAGCTTCCCCCTTGTGAGGAAATGCATCAACATCACCTGGAGGAGGAGGTATTGCTTTTTAAATAGTTGCTTCCATTTTATTTTCTGACAACGTAATCTCAAGCATGTCTTTTAGTTGCGAACAAAAAAATAAATCATGTCATTCACCAGAAGTAAGGAGGTGCCAGGTAATATTTAGACAAAACAACTCCTCTGCAGAGCTCTTTTTTGGCTTTATACTTCATGCACATAGCTGCTGCTTGAATCTGACAGCAGCTTTGATTTAGTTCTGCATCATGCATTGAGGAGCATTCATTTCTCCACACCTGGGAAACCCATTGACAGGGCTGTAACCGACTAATAGTTCCATGTACATTTCCAGATGTGGAATTCACTCAGAGACCTGTGATCAACCTGTCTGACACATGCCAAAGCAAAGTATGAAGCAAAAGAAAAGTCATACTTAAAAAGGATGAGCAGCAGATATCTTATTAGGAGCCCAAAAATCACTCTTAAGCCTCAGTGTTCACCTCTGTGTTGATTTAGAGCACGTTTTCCAACTCGGTGCACTGTAAAATCTACAACAGGTGCCAAGCGACTTGAATAAAAGTGTCTGTGTGTCCCATCCTGCAGGGAGAGTGACAGTGTGCAGAGGCGGATGAGCTCATGTGTGGGCGTTCATGTTAAGACAGTGCAATGGAGTAAATGAGATAATCAGGGTTTACAGATCTGGGTGGCAGTAGTGACGCAGGGCTTTACACCTGCAAATGGAACAGCCAAGACAGCTGCCACACCCTGATTGCTCTGTTTCACCAGACTCCCTGACCCCCTCACATACTGTCTGAATCAGGGACTGTCTGCAAATAAATCCGTCTTCTTAGGGAAACCTGGAGCTGGAAAGAAAAGCAATGATTCCGACAGAGGAGTCAACAGGAAAAACACTCTAATCACTGCATATCTGCTCAGAGGTGCATTAACATTAACATATGCGGGAAGTGTTTGCATCCACGGTGACATCCACACATGCGGTCAGGACCTCAGGGTTACCTCTTAGTAAGCCCAGAGACCCTGACCTACAGGATTTACAGTCTGGGGGTAACAGGCTTATGGGATCAAATAGAAAATATTTCCTGTCTGTTTTAAACAGCAAAAGCCTCCTCCCCGTCACGGCTATTTCAGGTGGCTCAATGTATATCACAGAGCTTAACTGTGACTCTTGAGAAGAAACTGTCTCTGTGAGGTGAAGCAACCCACAGAGGGCGACATGGCAGCGTCGAGTGAGCTTTACACACAGCTCAGCACCAGTTGAATCACGCAGGGGAAAAAGATACCACTCGATTTCCTTCTTATTTATGAATATCTTATTATTAGTTTTATAATGATGGTGCATTTCTTGTGCGTTCTGCAAGAGTTCAGACGAAGGCATTGACAATTTAACACCGATGACCAATCAGAGAATCTCTTTTCACATATAAGAAAACCACAGGGTTTCGGATTAAAAGCTTTAAAAACTCAATAAAGGGCGGCTGTGGAGCTGCTTCATAATGTAAAGCCCTACAATGCGATCATGTTGTGTAGGTTTGCAGTGAGCTTCAGTCTGTCAGAGGGGGGCGGGGTAAAGTACAGCTGACATCCTCAGACTACAGAGCTCACAGTTGCAGTAGGACGCATCGTGCCAAGTGGGCAAGTAACGGTTAACTCCTGCACAAGTGAGAAAAATACGCTCCACTTAACAGAGTTAGGGTAAGCAAACTGGATTTCCTGAGCGCATTCAACTTGCATTATTTGGATGAATTGTTGACAGTAAGGGAAGAAATAAAAAAAATGTAGAAGCTGTGCGTAAAAATCCACAAGATTCCACTGGGGGCTTGCTCGTCGCAGGGAGGATCGTGCCAGACTTGAGGAGAAGCTTATTCATGCAAATTCATAAAATCATAGGCGTGCCTTTGGGCGATGGAGTCACAGCCGGAAAAGCAAACCCCCTCCTGGATCATCAGCGACCTTCAAAGACTGTGATGCGTAGCGCACGGACGCATTGACGGCGGCACCGGAGCAAATGTTTCTAAAGCGCAGAGAGACAGAGGAGAAAGTTATCGCTTGATTTCTGCACGCTACTGTTGACTGGATGCACTTTCTGCAAAACGCAAACACCAGCAAGACTCCTGCGCCTCTGGACCTCCAGACTTCTTGCGTTTCACTTTTAACGCACGACCGAAATCGTTACTATCTGCCTCGGGTCCTTTTTTAACTTCGTTTTTTCATGTTTTTAAAAAAATTGGACGACTACAATTACCTAATATCCCGATTTGGAAGAGGTTAAAGACACCCTTAATTTCAGCATTCGTGCGTAAACGTGTTTCTCTTTTTGAGGTTTTTTTTAAATTTATTTATTTTTATTTAAATCCTCGAGGACTTTCACTTTTCAACATGTCAGAGGACGACAGCAGCTCCACCACCAGCTCTATGTCTGACACAGAAAGCAGCAACATTAGCGTCCTCAGCTGGGAGCAAGTGCAGAGGCTGGATGCCATCCTGACTGAGACGATCCCGATCCACGGCCGCGGTAACTTCCCCACTTTGGAGATGCAACCGCGGCAGATCGTAAAAGTGGTTCGGAGCCGGATGGAGGAAAAACAGATCCACGTCCGGGACGTTCGGTTAAACGGCTCAGCAGCCAGCCACATACTGCACGGGGACAGCGGACTGGGCTTTAAGGACCTTGACCTCATATTTTGCGCTGACATGAAAGGTGAAAGTGATTTCCAGACTGTGAAGGACATAGTTTTGGACTGTCTCCTGGATTTTTTACCCGACTGTGTGAATAAAGAGAAAATAACCCCGTTAACGTTAAAGGTACATCTACTCTAACAACTTTGTGCTGTTCTGTTCTGTTTTTTTCATGCTTCTCTTGTTTACTTTTGAAAATGTGAAAAGATTTAATTGCATTTGTGCCAATTTGGCTTACTGACCAGTTCCCACAGCTTAATGTGCTGTTAGATTAGTTCAGTGATAGTAAAATGTTGGTTTTCTGTGGTTAAGAGGATTAAATTAAACCAATTTGAAAAGAATCCTGAGCTCAGCCACCTAGATCCCATATCCAAGTACATCTGATATTGGGGTCAATACTAATAATAACTCTAGAATAATATGAGACAGACTTCCTCTTGCTCCTTATTCATGCAAAAAAGAAAAGAAGAAAAAAAACCTGCTCAGTTAGAAGTAGTCCCCAAATCTGGTGCACATAGCTCTGCTTGTAAATTGGTTGTTATTTCAATGCTTTCTACTCAACATTCATGCTCCTTTTTTCTTCTTTCTCTCTCTCCCTGACATGCACACAGGAGGCTTATGTGCAAAAGATGGTGAAGGTGTGCAATGACTCAGACCGCTGGAGCCTCATCTCCCTCTCCAACAACCGGGGAAAGAATGTGGAGCTGAAGTTTGTGGACTCTCTCAGGCGGCAGTTTGAGTTCAGCGTGGATTCCTTTCAGATCAAACTGGACTCCCTGCTGCTGTTCTATGAGTGCTCAGAAAACCCGATGGCTGAGACCTTCCACCCCACCATCATGGGCGAGAGTGTTTACGGAGACTTCAGTGAGGCCCTGGACCACCTACGTCACAAGATCATCTGCACCCGCAACCCAGAGGAGATCCGAGGAGGGGGGCTGCTGAAGTACTGTCACCTGCTGGTGAGGGGGTTCAGGGCCGCCTCCGAGTCAGAAATGAAGTCCCTGCAGCGCTACATGTGCTCACGCTTCTTCATTGACTTTCCTGACATTGGTGAGCAGCAGCGCAAGCTGGAATCCTACCTGCAGAACCACTTTGTGGGCCTGGAGGACCGCAAGTATGACTACCTGATGACCCTCCATGGAGTGGTCAACGAGAGTACGGTGTGCCTGATGGGACACGAAAGACGGCAGACCTTGGGGCTCATAGCCATGCTGGCAGTGCGCGTTCTTGCTGAACAGAACATCATTCCCAACGTGGCTAATGTTACTTGTTACTACCAACCTGCTCCTTATGTGGCAGACGGAAACTTCAGTAACTACTACATAGCACAGGTTCAGCCGGTGTTTGCCTGCCAGCAGCCTGCATACTCCACCTGGCTGCCCTGTAACTGAGTCAGCCCCGAGCAGAGGCGGAGGAGGGAGTCTGATTTGTTTAAACAGGAGTGAGCGGCACAGTTGCCGCCTCAAACCTGCCTGCTGTTTGACAGCTGACGCAAAGCTTGTGTTTTTGTTCATATGTTTGATATGAACACTTGGCTTTCACTTCAAGTATTTCAATGTGAATATCTCACATTTGTTGAAATGCCAGCATCTCCTGATCCTGTCCAGGCCAGCCAGCTGTGATACAGACTCACAAAGGCTACATGCAAATGTGCAGCGTCTTGAATGCAAGTGGCTGATCTGTTATCATACCTGCACGAGACTGATTGAATCTGTCAAGAATTGGTGAGGCAGCACATTCCAGCAGTAGACCAAACAGCTGCATCGGTTCAAGCTGACAGATACACCACACAAACACACACAGACACACACACACAAACACACACTATTGGAATAAAAGGTGAGTGCAGGCTCTAATCTGAACACCTAAGACTTGATGTCAGCTGAACTGAGGCGAGATCTTTTAAAGCAGTTTGGATATCAAACTTGCGTCTCTGCCTTGCATTTGGATAAAATTATGGTTGTTTACAGACCAAAGATTTTCTTTTGATTGTTTCTAACATAACCACCCAGTTTTGGTGGGGGAGATAAACAAAAATATGAAGCTATGTCTATTTGTATATGTGAACATGTTTGTGTTTTTAAGTGCCTATCGCCTCTCAAACGGGCAGCAAAACGAATGAGCAGGCCATATGATTTGTGTGAATTAGCTCCACTCTGTTTATTCTGTTCATGACAACAGCACCCCAGAGGCTTGTGAATGTATATGTGAAATCATGCACATGTCAGTGTTTGTATACATTTGGATAGAAAAGAGCACCATGCGCCGGTTTGAGTTTTGCATTAAGGTAGCTTTCAAAGTTGCTGTTTCACAAAATCTGAATCATTGAGTGTGGAAAAAAAACACACATCACAAAACTGTATCGCTTTTGATTCATGCTTTTTTTTTTTTTTTTTTTGCATATTTGCTGTAAGAAAGGATGACAAGCATTTTTAGATCATTTGCAACTATGAAAACTGTCACTCAAACCATTTCCTGTATATTTTGTAAAGTGGTGCTTTTTTCTTTTCCTCATCTGTAAGATCACAAGAAGTGTATAAGAGACAGAGTGAGGACAGGCAGCATGAAAGAGCTGGTGTGTGTGTGTTTCCTCATACAGTGAAAGGGTATTTACAGAGACACCTCATATGATGAGACACTTATTTGCTGTAGCACCCTGGCAGGGAATTCCTCAGCTGCTGCTGAAGAGCTTGGACTTAGCTGGGGTTGGGTGTGCAGACGCTCTGTTCAAGACTCAGAAATGTTGTGCCAAACATTGCGGTGGCCCTGCTGGTAGCTTGAAAAGTTGAATAACGCAATTTGTTATCAAGATGTTAAAGTTGCAGAAGACAAGAAGCAGACAATAGAGGAAGAAAAAGGGAGAAGAGGAAGCATAAATGTAGTGGTGTAAAGAGCAGAAGGGGAGAGTGAGTCAGTCTGGAGAGATGGGTGCAGCTGGTGATGGGGTTTATCTCTCGGGGGCCACCATGCTTTACTATTTTAACTGTCTCTGTGAAGCTCAATTTATAACTCAATAGACGGTGCTGCAGCTCTCCCCTTCTTTCAGGGGGACCCAAACATTGTGTTGACTTTCTGTTTTAATCATCTGGTTGTATGAAAGAGTGGAAACTAAAGAAGAAATGCATTCACACAAGCTTCAGGAGAGGAGCAGCTAAGGTTTCATTTGTGAGGTCTCTAATCGAAGCTTGTTACAGTAATGCTTCATTTCAGATCAGAACAGTGTATATATATGATAACATGCTTTAGCTTTGCAAACTAACTTACTTCTTGCAAAATTTAGTGCAGCCTTAAGGACATTATGATTTAAAGCGTAACAGGAACGTAAAGGCCAGAAAACCAGCATCAACTATCAACAGCCTGCTTGAAAATGAAACTTCTTGCTGAAAAATATCGTTTCTTTCTCACTGTCTCGCTCTCGCATCAGTTTAATTATCCATCACTGCTCTGTTCAGTTGTTTTTTTTTCTTCTCAGTGTAAGTCTATCTTGATGGTATCCTTTGGATTGTGCAGGAAATGTGTTGTCATTTTATACTCAGTGACGTCCTAACAGCTGACTAGCTAGCTGCAGTCTGCCTGTCAGTTAGTGATTGTGCCTATCAGTTAGAGATTGTGGGTTACTGCATTGTTACGTATGCATCGTCTTGAGTATCCGTCTCTGTCCATGCAGTCTTTTACAAATCACACTTTGAAAAAGGAAGAAAAAGATCCTTGTCTTGTATGTATATTTTTTATGATTGTTATTTTTATAAATGTATCACACACTGCAGGTGTTGCAGTGCTTTGAATCTGTGATTGGGCTTCAGAGGATATGTTCTCAATAGCTTTTTTGCTATATAATGTTATGTGTCCAATGGGTCAAAAGGTTAAAGATGTTTTCATCAATAAAAATCTGAAAATCAGATTTGTAATGTCTCTTGTTGTTAATCTGTCTGAGTTTAAATCAAATTTACTGCTCTGAGTCAGTCCAAACTGAAACCTACTGCCAAACATGAGAAAATGCTTACTTGTTGACTCACTTCAGGTTCTTTCTTCTCCCCCAAAATGTGTCTCTCTCTTCACCAATAATAGCGATTCAGTGGCTTTCACATGGTTCCCCCTCTAACTCACTCAGTGAGGCAAATCCCTGTCATGGCCTGCCGGGCCCAACAGGCCCAGCCAGAAACCCATCCAGAACTGGCCTGTAGCTGCCAGAGAGAGCTGTTGTTGAATGTGAGGGGATTTGCATCCACCCAAAAAAGAGACTTCAATGCTTTTGTAGAATGAATATCTTTGCCTGCTCATCAAATTCTCTGTGTTAACATCCTCCCCTGCTAAATACAACCACAGAAATGCAATGACGACCAGTGCTAAGGCCTGCGGAGAGCAGGGTCCAACTGTCTCATGGGTGTCAGGCTGAAATTAAACCCTACAACAGAGCTGACTATCACCCAGGTCATGTGACAATCTGTCCCAGATACCGAGAGATGTGAAAGAAGGAGACCCAGAATGAGTAAGAGATTTACTTTGTTTAGCAGACATGATGAGGACATTGTCTTTTACATAAGCCAGTTAGAGCTCATTAATCTGAGCAGAGGAAGGAACCATTTTAGATTTGTGCTGAACAGTAGAGCTCATATAGACAAACAGGCTACAGAGACATTGGTCATTACACTCATTGTTCTAGTTTACGTCATGTTAAAGCCTCTACTGACCTTTTTCATCCTTAAAATCCGGTTTCTACAGCTTCAAGGTTAAATCAATTTTTTCCAACTATATTTCATGAACATGTCCTTATGTAAACTCAGAGAGACTCTCTTTAATGTTATGCTTCAGAAATAAGTCTTAGTTTGACTAACTCAGAATATTGAAGTCCTCCACTGTCTCCATCACTCAAAAAGTTTGGATTTATCATAGTACAAACTGCAAGAAGTGAAGCTTTTGTATGAAGTATGAAGAGGGAGCAACAGTAGCAACTTCAAATATTTTTAACACGTACATGCAAATGTGAGTATGAATGGGTTTAAGGTAAAACATAAAAAATTATGTAGATGATGGATTTTCATGGCATATGCATTTCTATCTTTTCACATAAATGTGCATATTGCTGTCTCGTGTTCTGATAGATGTGTTTATTTATCTTTATCTACTCCGAAGAGCAAATACTGTATATCACGCGGCCATCAGTGGTAGTATTGTGCAAACAGGAACCAGTCACTGAAAGATAAATGACATGTCTGATTACACAAAGATTTCGCTCTCCTAAAGAAATCCATCATCTCTTTATTTCAGTGAGTAACTTTATGGAAGTCATATTTTCAGCTATCTATCGAAACATTTGCTTGAAGGACTCTAGAAACGACCATTTTTACCTGAATATCAGTTTTATTACTGTGTTTGAAAGATATAACCGGTCATCTGTTCAGTCAGCAGGCTTTGAAAAAAGACAAAAATCACCTGAACTCAGTAATGAGTGATCCTGACAGTGATGGTGATATGTGGCTCACTGAAGACACAGGGAGACATCTTTATGAGCCAAAAGTAAGACAAATGAAACTCCACAGACCTAAGGGCAGGAGAGGAGGGAGAGACTCATGTGCTAAAAGAGCAGAGAGATCCCAGGTTAGCAGGTGAATGAGACATGGTGGTATCAGTATTTCAAGACCTACTAGTCCCTCACATACAGCAGGTCTGCCTCACTTACCACCCAGAATTTCCTACCTACTTTCCTACATTGTTCAATTTTCAGACTCAGTAAAGCAGAGAAAGCCAAGAGAAAGCATGTCGTAATAATTTGTTTTCAGCTCTGTCTAGTTTTACTCTGCATAATGACACAACCCAAGCTCTGCAACATATGTTCACCTTAATAAAAGAAAATACAGTGATATTGTTCATAGGACAGACAAATCACAGATATTTGTTGCTCAAAATGATGTCAACCTCAGAAGCAAAAATGTAAAAATTTGTAATACATCAGTGATTTTTGCATCTTTGATCTGATGTTCTGTGAATAATGCAAACAAACAAATGAGTTCTCTGGTGGCAAATTTTTAGACTGAATATAGAAATGGGTAGACAGAGTCCATGCTCCATGAACCTGCTACAATGTGGGCTTAAATGAAAGATATTACTACATGTTTCAGGCCACTGCTTTCATTAGATATGAACCAATGAGGAGACACACTTCCATGATAAACAACCTCTTTGTCACCTGATAGGTCATGTACTACATGAATAACCCTTGTTATTAAATCTACACAGAGGGTTAAATGATAATACAGTCAGCATTGGTTCATATATGCATACATCTATGCATGCACATATTTGCACAGATACACATATCAGTGCTTTGTTAGTTAATGTACAGATTTATTTATAAAGTTGTTGTGTCTGAAACACCATAATTTCTGTAATATGCAATCCGTCACACAGCTCTGTCAGGTGTGTCTCAAGGCTGTGGAGACATTGGTGTGACATGGACCATCCTGTGGGTGCGTCTGAAATAAAGTTAAACAATAATAATAATTATATTAATAATACTATTTCCACCATAGACTCAGATTGTTATTAAAATTGAAGCTCTCTAGTAAGTGAGGGTGCACATATCACACGGCATTAGGTTATTAACTGTAGTCTGTAAAAGACCTGAACACCTTGACTTTGTATCACTAAATATAAAAGGAAAACCTTCTCAAAGACATGTAATAGAAGGGGGAAAAGTTATAGAGGCACCTTTGTTAGGTAAGAGCAAGGATAACAGATGTAAAAGTCATAAACATGTATCAAAGCTGAGATATGCAAATATGGATCCCATGGCTGATGAAAAAACAAAAAGAGCATAAAGTATCAAACTCTGGTGAACAAAGTTGATGTAAGACCCACAAACAAGCAATTCAGTATGCAGATGGAACAGCACTCCAAAATCACAGAAACAGTGTCAAATCAATTTCTTCACTCAACCCCTGAGGAGTCCTTGTCTGAGGTGACAACGAGGTTGTATAATGTTGAGATGAGTCTGCTCGTTTATCCATTTCAGATGAAGGGCAATGGTCCCAAACCTCCCATGTGGTAATATTTCATCACCTGTCCCAGGTCATGAAACAGTATTGACATTTGGCTCTGTGATCAATAAGTCTAGACCAAGGCCATACTTGAGACTGAGACTCTCCATCATCCTTACCTTTTCAGTAACAGTCAGCAGAGATACTTATTCACTGTTGATGACTTACAGCTTCAAATCTGAGTTTTAATTTCAAGTATGATTATACTTAATCCCCTCTTAAGAACCCTTCTCATTTGCGGTTCGCTCCAAAGATGGCAGATTGATGTAACACTGGCGCCAAGGGGCCTAAATCTCAGGTCCTTAATTTGAGATGAGGCATCAAATGAAACGTCCCTCTTAATTTAAAGGAGCTTTGATTTGAACATTTAGAGGGTAAGTTGTGAGAGAGTTGTGCCTCAGTAACTTCCTGGCAGAGTGTGATAGCCAAAGCCAACCACAAAGTGAATTCTCGCTGTATATGCTCAAGTGAATGACTTCACAGAGACATGATTACTTTTGAGTAAAAGCTCAGACACTTGTCAGTCATCCCCCTGGTCCTCGTCCCTCCTGCTTGCCTCAGTACCCAGCTGCTCTATAATGGCTTTTCCACAGCAAACATTGGAGAATCCTTTTTCCTCTCTATTACTGTGAACAAATTTTTCCAGATGAAAGTTTTTATGGAACAAGTCTTCTCTCGCTGGCTCTACCAAACTGACTGCTGGGTCGGTGCGGTCCGGAGTCCAGTCTCCTGGTGGGGACAGTTGACCACAGCCAACCTAACTAATGTTCTGATTGACTCTGAGCCTTTATCTCTGAAGTGGAGGTCATTACAACATTACCACACCATAAAACATTTGACTTATTAAACAAGTGTGGGATAACACTGAGCAGGCAGCATGAGAGCAGAACTCCCCCCAACATTGAGCCAGGCTTGTAAACAAATTCCAGAGGGATGAGCTTGTACAAACAGTAAGGGAAACATTCATCATGAATGTTAACAGCCATGAGGGAGATAAAGAGTCAGCTGCAGGTCACAGACTGTTGGACCTACAGCACACTACTGTTCTTAGTAAAACAACACCATCTGAATGGGTCTGGACTGGGCCTCTGCTCTTACTACACCTCAAATCAACAAGCTGCCTCAAACATGTAACCCTCATACAGCAGCAAACGCACTGCATACCCCTCTCACACATGGCTCATGCTCGTTTACATGTGACCATCATAGTAACGTTACAGTGTCCCGGTGTGCTGTCATTAACTTCAATCAATTCTGGCCTTTTCTAATCCTTAAATTCACTTACTGTAGACGTCACCTGCTTGACCTTTTGACCATCTGCCTGCAGGTGGTGTTATAAAACTGACGTAAGAGGGAGATGAACACAACAAACTGGTGAAAATGCAATTTATTTATAAAAACAATAACACAAAAGGAGAAATAAATCTAACTTCGTTGAAACACTTGACCCCACACACCCTCGCTGGCTGAGCCCAGTGATGTGTGAATGGGATTAGTTAGAAACCAATGGCTCTTTACAAGGCAGCCTCTGTCATCATCAGTGTGTGACTGTGGTGTGAATGGGTGAACGTGACATGTAATGTATAAGTGCTTTGAGTGGTCAGAAGATTAGAGAGAGCACCGTGTAAACATAGTCTATTTGTCATTTACAGTGGGTAGCTATGATCATCAACGTTGATGTCAGAGGAAGCATTAATGTGTCAGTGACAAATAGTCGACTTTTAAAGGGGTATTATGCTCATTATCATTGATTATTTTGTATTGTCCCTCTGATTGCTTTGTGCTAGCTTTATATCATGAATAACCTATACAATTTCTTTACTTATCTAAGGATGCTGTCCTTGAAAACCTTAATTTCTACTAATGTCACCTTAAAAGGATATTTCGGCATAAAATTAATTTAAGGTCAAACACACCGTAACACTGAGTTAGGTCCCCCCTCTAGAGATGAATGTTGCCGACCGCTTGCCTCTCTAGTTATACCAACTTTAGTAAAGACCGCATGATAGCAATACACAGCAGTCTGAGGAGCCATAAACAAACCTCAACCAAAAGCCACTCTATAGCCACAAATAATGCTCAGAACAGCACCTAACTTCATCAACAGTACATATAGGGTCCCGGACATATTACTAGCAACCAAATATATTTTTAACTTTGCCTGGTTTCTTTAGCGAAGAGACTAAACAGAACTCACTTACTCTCTTCCAGCAGTCACTTGTTTGTAGTGAGACCTCGGGCCAGTCCATTACAGACCTCTGCGGGGTGATGCAGCTCAAGGAAGAACATTTATGATCATTTCTTCATGGAAATGCAATCAGACTGAGAAGCTTAGGCAGAAGAAC